AAATTTCATCAGAGCTTGACTGCTGGGGGCCGTGGGGGTCACCCAAATAGTGTTGAAGCAGAATCAGCATGAACATCAAAAGTGGCTGTGGGGGCAGCAGCTGCCAGTGGGTAAACAGCTCTGCTCGCCACAGAAAAGCCTTAATGGCCACCCAAGAAGGCACAGGAGCCCGAAGGGGGAAGTGAGATCAGGGTCCTCAAGGATCTCGTAGGAAGCAGTAGTCACAGGCCCTTCCAAGAAGTTACACCTGTTACAAATATGCAAAGAGAAACCCGTGGCTACTCGGCCTTGCATGACTGACCTTCAGTTACCCTTGAGATTTTCTCAGAACTTGCCAGAGCATCAGCAAGAACAGGTTACATGATCTGGCCCAACCAAGATGGAAAGTCCCCTTGCCACATGACTTCCTAAAGAAAATGCACCAAGAAACACTTTGGGGAGGAAAGTATATTCTGCGATACGGAGAAACCTGAGCTGGTTGTGTGTTCCCTCGCCAGTGAGGGACAGATGGACAGTGTCTCTGGATGTGACATCCTGAGCACACACATTATCTGTGTAGTGTTCCCTCCGAGTACACTGACCCTGACTGTCAAGGTGATGCAGTAAGGTAGAACCCAGGTCTGTGTCCCTCAGTCAGCCTTCTTGCCACCGCAGAGCTTTTGAAGGTCAACCATTGATTATTTAGAAGCTCAGCCGCTCCAGAGAGAAGTCACTCTCTTTTTATTCACAACTGTGCTATGAGTAGAAGGCCTTGGGAACTTCTACCTTTGGATAACCTGTTTGTTCCTTGTAAATAAATATTTTGAGCTCAAATTCCCTCAGAGCAGGAACAGAGGCCCACTTGGGCTGCGTTGGACTGCTCTCTCTTCCCTCACGGAGGCGAGGGTTGGGATCTCATAGACCCATCGTGAGCTGCCCGTCAGAGCAGCCAGTGTGGTGGAATGAGGAGGGTGAAATAGACAGGAAATGAGCCTTCAGATGAGGGGGGGGGGCAGGCTGCTGGGCCTTAAACCAAACAGGGGTTGCTAGACAGCTATCCTCCCTGGACTCCTCACGACCTACTGGCCCTGGTCTGGGCATGGGACTGCTGCTGAGGAGTGGACGGAACAGGGAGGACGGTCCATATTCCTGCGGATGCACAGCCCTAAGCAGCAGCAGGCTTCCTCTGAGCAGCAGGGACAGGAAAGGAATCTGAGGTTAGGCCTGGGTGGAACTGACCTACTAGCCAGGGCCAGAGTCAGCAACCTCAGAAAGCAACCTCGGCCTCCACGGAGGCTGAGCAGAGGATGGGAAGGGGTCGGCCCACGTGTGCCCTCCCCCATGGACTGCAACTAGCTGGGTGATGGGGGATAGACCCACTGAGATAAAATGTTTAGCACCAAAATGTCTTGAAAGGACCCAAGAGGAGGCAGGTGGGGTAATGAGCCACATCCTAGACAAGGGTCGGGGGCTCCAGTATGGGTTTCGTGTATTTCCTTCCAGGTCCTTTTCTGCCAAGTAAGGGGTTGGAGCAGCTGACCTCCAGCTGCCAGTCAGTGCTCACATTCCAGAGGCGGGACAGTCACGGACAATAAGCCGCACACATCTTGGGTGTAAAGGTGATACATTCACACTTAAGTAACCACTGCCCGTTTCCTGAATCCCAGAAGGCCCTCTTTTCCAGTCAGCCACCACCCTTCCCACAGGTTACCACAATTCTGACTTGCCAGTTAGGTTTGCCGGTGCTAGAAATTAATGTAAATGGAATCAGGAAGTTCTGCGCTCAACATCCTCTCTGTGAAGTTCACGCGGCTGCTGCCTCTCAGTGACACATGGTACCTTTTGTCGGAATAAACCACTTCTCTACACGGGCTGTTTCTGGTTTGGGCCCATCCGAAACATAGGCTGTGACCCTCCTTGTAGAGTCTTTTGGAGGACACATACCTTATTTCTCCTGGGAATGGAATTGCGGGCCTCTAGGGCAGGTGGTAACTTTAGCTTTTGTAGATATTAGCAAATAATCTCCCAAAGTTCAGGGGTGATTTCTACAGGCCTCAAAATGAATATAAAGTGGAGAAGGGAGAGGAAAGGAGTAAACAGATATTCCTTAAACTATTCCCAAGACAATTTTTTTTTTTTTTAAATAAACCTTGACCTCCTACTATGAATTGGTGACACCAGCACTTTTAGGAGCTCCTCCAGGAGGCTGTGCCCTGCCCGAAGGAGCCAGGAAGATTTTGCAGAGTCCAACAGTCCCTGTCTCCCTGTCAGGCACATCACCTGTGGTCAGAATCTCAGAATGGTCCTGACAGACCCTCCCCTCCCATGTTTAGTCCCTTCTGGAAGATATCAAGGCCACAGCAGCTTTTGCACTTCACACCTCAGCAACCTGCATCACAGAAAGAACTTTCAGACACATTCAAAGCAGGTCCCTTTGGGTGCATGTTGAAAAGGTGCCCACAGAGCATTCTGAAGCTCAAGGCCCCACAAGGTTCATGGAAGCGTGCACCTCTCTCTCTCTACCAGCTGGCACCTCATTGACACCAAAGAGGTCAATTCCTGGGACTGCTTAAAGGGAAACCATGACTTCAGAGTCTTCTGTGTGCGCGACGATAGGACTCACCTGCTCTGTAAAACAGGTTTGCTCCATCTCGGCATTATCCGCATCTTCGGTCAGCTCAGTCTTTGTTACAGGCACCGTCCTGGAACTGCAGGCTGTTTGGCAGCAACTCTAGCATCTACTCACCAGATGCCAGTAATACTCCCAGTTGAGACACCAAAAATGTCTCCAGACCTTACCAAATGTCCCCTGGGGAATAAAATTGTCCCTGATTGAGAACCACTGCAGTAAAGAACAGTTTTCAAAACACCAACCAGTGTGTTGTCTCCCTCTAGAAAGGAAAGATCAGCTTTTCAAGACACACAACCTGGACAGAGTAGGCCTGCCTAGTCCACAATAGGCATTTTAATTTTGGCAACCATGTAAAACCCAACAAAAAATAACCCACACTGTTTACTCTGGCAAAACGGAGAAAAAAAAACTGAGAGGCATGAACAGAAAATTCGGGAAAGCAGAGGTAAGAGGACTTGGAGGTAACAATAACAGAGAAATCATCTTTGTAAGTTCCCGTTCGTGAGCTGACACATCGGCCACACCAGTGACTCAAACATAAAACCATGGCTAGCTGCGTGGCAGCGTTGGTTTTGAGGGTCCAAACTTCAACACACTGTTTTCAGAAGTGCCCCTAAAACCAAGTCCATCTCTTATGAAAATATGCACACATACACACAACCACAACCTACTGCTAAGTCACTTTAAAATATACACTGTTCGGGCCTCCCCAGTGGCGCAAGGGGTGAAGCACTGCACTGTGAAGCAATCCGCAGCCTCTGCAACATGAGTTCAATACCCCGCTGGACAAGGATCACCCCATATGGCACAGCAGACCTCTCCTGTCTCATCCTCTGCTCCCCTCAGCAGTGTATTTCAGTCAGTCTGCCTGTTCTGTTCCCAGCTCTGTCTCACCCCCCATCTCTGGCCTGCACCCCAGCTCTTGTATGCATAAATAAATCAATCTTTAAAAATAAATATACACTGTTCTTCTGAAAGACCCTGAACACATCTTCTCCCAAGGACACCGAGTCCACAGCTCCCCATGGAACACTTTCCTCAGAAAACCCCAAGGCTGGCGGAGGGTCAGTCACACATTAGGCAAATGAGAAGAAAACACATGGAAGTAAGTAGCAAGAGGCCAGGACGCAACCCCCAAGCGCCATTCCAGGCCCCAGTCCCACAACCCGGACGTACTCAAAACTTCTCCCCGAGGCGCAAAGGGTTGGAACCCCACATCAGGCATCTTAGCTTTTAAGACATACCACCTGAGAGATGAAGATCTAATGGGGTTCACTTCCCGAGACCCACTATTCTAGCATTCTGGAAACCCCAATTTCAGACTTACCCGCCAAAGGCGCAACTCAGAGGCAGCCGACCACGTCCAAACTCGAAGAGGCGGCGGCTCACCAGCTTTTATGGAAGCGGCAGCCCGAGGGCCGGGCCTCTAATTGAACGCACCTGTGCGGCACCCGCGCTCCCTCTACCACACTGCAGACCACCCATGTCTCCTGGAAGGGAGCTTTTACGTGTGTCTGGTGCCCCATTTTTGCCCATCTCTTTGTGTGGCGCTCTGAATTTCTGCCATTGCTGCCGGGGTACACGTCTCCAGGCCTGGCTTTGGTGGTCAGAGGGGCTCACGCTCTGCTAGAGGACCCGAGTTGGTCAGTTTTTCACCGTTAAGCCATAGCACCCAGGTGCTCCCTCTTTCTGCAAACGAGGCCTATTAGTGAACCAGCAGGACTAAGTCTGAGGGGCTGGATTCTAATTAAACATACCTCTACACTGACTGCATACACTCCCAGAGGCCTCAGGGACTAATGCCATCTTTCGTCATTAGCTCTCAGCCAGTGTCTTTTGAAGGGGTGCCCTACACGTGTGGTACCCTGTTTTTTATGCGTGGTGGCACAGTTCTTGTGGCTATTGCCCTGGAGACGTCTCTTAACTGCCTGACTCTGATGCAAGGTGGGGAAGGTCTGTGTTTCTGGATCCTATGAGTATGTGGCAATGAGAGACATTTCTCTGGCACTGGACAGTGGCCTGAAGCATACTCCCTGAGCTTTCTGTGAAGGGATACTTTAAATATTCATCGTCCCATGCTTAATCATTAACCGTGATGGATGGAATTTATTCAGGGGGTGTGGGGAAGGTTCAATATTGGCAATTCAGTGAATGTGATACAAAATTAACAAAGGATAAAAATCATATGATCATCTCAATATATGCAGAAAAAGCATCTGACAAAATTCAGTGTCTATTTATAATAAAAACTCGGGCCTCCCCTGGTGGCACAGTGGTTGAGCACTGGGCTGTGAGGCTGCCAGCAGCCTCTGCAGCGCCGGTTCATTCCCCGGCAGCCATTGAGGGTCCCACAAAAAAAAAAAAAAAAAAAAAAACCAACAACAAAAACTCTCTCAACAAAGCAGCAGGTATAGAGGGAACAGAGGGAACATACCTCCACATTATAAAGGCCATCTACGACAAATCCACAACTAGTAACATACTCAACAGAGAAAAGCTTTTCCATTAAGATCAGTAACAAGACAAGAATGCCCACACTCATGATTTTTATTCAACAATACAGTACCGGAAGACCTTGTATGAGCAATTAGGCAAAAAAAGAGAGATAAATGGTGTACAAATCAGAAAGGAAGGAGTAAAACTATCGGCATTTGCAGGTGACATGTTGTATGCAGAAAATCCGAAAGCCTCCATCAAAAAACTTGGGATAAATGAATTAAGCAAGATATAGAATCCAAATACAGAACCTGATGTGTTTCTATACACTAATAATGAATTATCTGAAAGAGAAATTAAGAAAACAATTATATTTACAATTGCATCAAAAAAAGAATGAAAAACCTAGGAATAAATTTAACAAAGGCAGTAAAAGTTCTGTATCTTAAAAATTATAACATTAATGAAAGAAACTGAAGACACAAATAAATGGAAAGAGATTTGGAGTACAGAATCTCTTTATATAATGTTATATGTGCATCCTATTCAAAGCAACCTGTTGATTCAATATGATCCCTATAGATTTCTTGCAAAAATAGAACATCCTAAAATTTTATGGAACCATGAAAGACCCTGAATAGTCAAAGAAATTTTGAGAAAGAAGAGCAAAGTTGGAATATCACACATAAAACTATATTATAAAGCACAGTACTGACATAAAAACACATAGATCAATGGGACATACTAGAAAGTCCCGAAATAAACACACACTCGTATGTCAATTAACTTATGACAATGGAGCCAAAAAGATACAATGGGAAAAAAAAAATCTCTTCAATAAATGGTGTTGGGAAAATTGGACAGACATATGCAAAAGAATGAAGCTGGACCCCTCTCTTACACTATACACAAAAGTTAACATGGATTAAGATTTGAGTATGAGACCTGAAATTATAAAACAACTAAAAGAAAACATAGGCAATAAGCTCCTTAACTTAGTGATGATTTTTAAAGAACAAAAAGTAAAAGCAACAAAAGCAAAATTAAATAGTGGAACTATCAATACATCCAATAAAAACTTCTACACAGCAAGGGAGACCACGAAATGTCAACGTAGTGAATGGGAGAAAATCTTTGCAAATTATAGATTTGAGAAGAAGCTATTTATCCAAATTATATGAGCTCATACAACTCAATAACAACAACAAAAAATCCCATTTTTTAATGGGCAGAAGATGTGACTATACATTTTTCCAAAGAAGGCACACAGATATAGATGGCCAACAGAACATGTAAAGATGTTCTACATCATAAATCATTATGGAAATGCAAATCAAAACCATAGTGAAATATTACTTCATACCTGTTAGAATGGTTATTATTCAAAAAACAGAAAAAACAAGTGATGAGGATGCAGAGAAAAGGGAATCTTTGTGCACTGCTGGTAGGAATGTAAAATGGTGCAGCCACTAAGCAAAGCAGTATGAAGATTCCTAAAAAAATTAAAATAGAACTACCACATGATCCAGAAATTCCATGTCTGAGTATCCTGGGCTAGGAAAACACTAATTCAAAGAGATAAATACACCACTGTGTTCAAAGCAGCATCATGTATACTAGCCAAGATATGGAAACCACCTAAGTGTTGATTAATGAATGAATGGATAAACACACACACACACACACACACACACACACACAAAGACTATTATTCAGCCATTAAAAATGAAACCTTGCCACTTGCTAAATGTAGATAAATGTTGAGATGTTTCCTTGAGCTCCATCCATTTGGTAGATATGCTAAGTGAAGTAAGTCAGACAGAGAGAGAAAAATACCATATAATCTCTCTTATTTGTGGGATCTAAAAATATATACACGTGAAAAAAAGTTCAGAACAGATTGGTTGCCAGAGGTGGTGGGGTGGGAACTGGGAGAAATGAATGAACTGTTTCTGTTCCTCTCTCTTTTTTTTTTTTTTAGTGTAAGTAAATTGGGAAAAAATATCAATTAAGTTAAAAATAAACAAAATACAAGTTCTTGGTATTTTTTTACTTTCTTACTGAATCCGTTTTACTAAAAAAAGAAACATACAAAACACTTTAATGTATCTTAGAAAATCAGAAAAAAATTAAGTTGAGCATATTACATTGTAAAATATTTAGATAAGGATGTTTGAAAATTATAAATATTTTGTTCCCTCTGAATACAGCACATCACAAAAATACATTTTAAAACTTTTTTCATGAGTGATTGCTATAAATGATCATATCCCTATCTTGAGGAAAAGGCCTGATTATGATAAACATTCATATATTCCTGAAATTTTCTGTACAGTAACTACAAAAGGAAAACCAAGAGGTCCATGAGCACTTTGACAGTTGAAACCATTTTAAATATTAGAAGTTCAGTTAGTATCAAAATATCATTCCAAATGGGATTTACTAAATTTACTTCTGTGTTCTGATTCACAAGTATATTAGCCAAAACAATTTATTGAAAGGATTTTTGTCTCCTACACAGTGCCACTGAAGCAAGCACGCAAATCAGTAATGCTGTGTGTTAAACAGAAATCTCCTGCACAACTAACCACATGAACTGGAACCATTCAGAGTGGAGGTAAGGTCCATCCGCTGCTAGGAACTTCTCTATCAGAGCAGCAAAGGTCAAAGGTGTGCCAGGTCAACTGGCATGGAATGGCAAGTAGGCTGACCAATCTGGTCTAGAAACATGGACTTGGGGAAAGAAGCAGAGGCTCTGATTATCTCGTGATCGTGAGCACCTCTTGCTCCCTTCCAAACACTGCAGATGATGGCACAGACTGCACTGTGTGTACCCTGCCTCATCCCACAGGAATCTGAGAAAGCTAAAAAGGAATTTTCAGTAGCTGAAGTTTTCAAAGAAAGCGTACATAAAGAGCTTGATAATGTCACTTTTTTTCTTTTCAGGTAAACGCTGATTTGCAAGAAGATAAATAAGAAGGTTTCCTCAGAATATTGACCCGATGGCAGGCACTGAAGAAAGAGAAGCAGCAAAGCCAGTTTGTTTTGTCTTTATCATAAAGCTCTCTGGCTACACGTGGAATCTACAACTGATGCTGCTCCTGCTGGCTCTGTTACTCTGTCGTCTTTTTTCCTTTCCAGTTCTTCTCTCTCTCTTCAAGTTCTGCTTCTGTGAAAGCTGCAGGGCCCCAGTTAGTGATCAGGTGAGGATTTTTTGAACCTAAAAGACAAACATATTTTAAACATAGGAATTATTATTATATTCTTCAATTTACATGATTTCTTTTTCACAGACAACACAGTAATTTTTCTACTTAATTTCCTCGCTGTGAGCATCCACAAACTACCAGAAGATGGGGGGGATTAAGTGGGCCTTCTTATCTATTTGAGGCAATTTATTCAAGAGAAATTTACCCTGAACAGTTTTGTTTCTGTATACATGGATTTTAAAAGTTTTTATTAAATTCAAACATACAAATAAAACCAGAAAAATAATTTGAATAAAAATACGATTGCTCAAAGAGTACGTTACCTGGTTCTATCAATCGAATTAATCCTTCATGCTGGGCCACTTTATCCTTCCAGCTCTTGGTTTTATTAGTTGCCATCTCCAACTTCTTTTTAACTCCCTGGAACAAAAGTAGATTTTATACTGTGCAAACATACCAGTAGGTTAAGAGCTAAGTAACAGTAATTGGGCACTTACTATCTACTTGCAGTTTATCTCACTAGAACTTCAATAGCTCTAAGAAGCAGGAAGCACTATTACTTCCATTTTACTAATGTGGAAACGAGGATTCAGGGATGTAAAGTAACCTATCGGAGATATCACACAGACAACCTGATGCACACTGATGATTGCTAAATGGACAAGGTATCTTTGTGTGCAGTAAGCCTCCAGGCTCCAAATCTACTCTTCACCGGCCTGCTCATGACACTAGGATAATTTTCCCTCCCTAGCTGGCACCACTTAAGCATCCTCAGTTGAGGGGGCTGAAGGGACACTGGAGGAAGAAAGAGCTTTGCCTCGAGGGTCCACTCTGCTCTTCTTAGTGGTTCCTGCGGCACACAGAATAGCCATGGTGCTCACCCAATGAGTTTTAGGGCACCTAACTTGTGGGCAACTTCCACCAGCCCCAGAAGGCAGCATTCCAGTGATTTCAGTTGGCACAGCAACTTGCTGAGCTTTTCCGCAGTGCCTTCAGCCACAGTCATGCCCTCTCTAAGGAGAGGATCATGGTACTAGGGTTATAGGCAAAGGACACTAGGATCCTCTTGTATCTGTGTTCCTTCCCTGGGTGCCCTGCCTTAGTCCGGGGGGCAGTGGCTACTTCCTGTATCTGCCATTCCTTGTTCTTAGTTATTTTTACCACTTAGTAGGTAATCCCCTGTTACAGTTAATAATTGTTTAAACTTTCCCCACTCAAATTACTGTGTGATATTTGTCTTCTGCTTGACTCCTGACTGATATGCTTGATCACTTATAAAATCCTTCTTTCGGACCTCCCCGGTGGCGCAGCGGTTGAGCGCTGGGTTGCGAAGCTGCCAGCAGCCTCTGCAGCGCCGGTTCGATCCCCGGCTGCTCCCCGGCCACCGGAGGAGGGTCCCACATGGCGCGCAGACCTCTCCTGCCGCCCGCTGCTCCCCTCAGCAGTGTACTTCGGTCCTTCTGCCTGCTCTGCTCCCCGCTCTGGCTCTGGTGAATTCTCTCACCCTCCCGCGCTTCTGACTCTACCCAATGCTTGTATAAATAAATAAAAAATAATAATAAATGTTTAAAAAAAAAAAAATCCTTCTTTCTTCTTACTCTTACTTCTTACTCTTACTTCTTAGCTCTTAGAGCTAAGTGAATTCTTACTATAGCTTCTTATAACAAAGCAAATATTCTATTATTTAAAACTATTTGTTTTTAAAATTTTAAATGCACATTTGCAGGGATAAGTTTACCTCATATGGGAAGAATGATGGCATCACACTTCCAGACTTCAAATTATGCTATAAAGTTATAATAATTAAAACAGCATTTTCTAGGCCAAAAACAGACACGGACTGATGGAATCCAACCAGAAATAAACCTAAACTTATATGGACAGTAAATATATGATAAAGAAGCCAAGAATATACGCCAGAGCAAGGATATCTTCAATAAATGGTATTGTGTTGTGAGGACTGGAGAGCTGCATGCAAAAAAATGAATCTAGACCATTGTCTCACATCACACACCAAAATCAACTCAAAATGGATAAAATGCTTTGATGTAAGACCTGAAATTATAAAACACCTAAAAAAACCCACTTCACGACATAAGCTTCAGTGATGTTTTTGCAGATTCATCTCCAACAGCAAGGAAAACAAAAAAGAATATAAACAATTGGGACTATATCAAACTGAAAACCTTCTGCACAGTGAAAGAAATTGTAACTAAAATGAAGACACCCTACTGAATGGGAGAAAATATTGACACACAATACATTTGACAAGATCTACAAATAACTCACACTACTCAATAAAAAGAAAAAAAATTTAAAAATGGGGGGAAGAGCTAAATAGGCACATCTCCAAATAAGACCTACAGATGGCCAAATGGCACACAAAAAAATGTTCACCACTTATCATCAAGGAGATACCACTTCAGGTGCTGTGGTGGTGGGTGCACTATGGCAACAACACCTGAAGGAGGCTCCTAGACTTCCAAAATACAAACAACAATGTAAATCAATGTTACCGCAATGAAAAAAAAAAACCCAAAAATTTTTTTTTAAAGAATAGTATTTAATTGACAAAGGAAATATTAGGGAAGGCAATCAAAAGAACATGACCATTGAATCAATCCTCAAACTGGACAATCTGCGGTTTCACATCCCTCTTCCTAGGGAACATGTATTCCCAGAAATTATTCTAAGGATATGGCTTTCAGAAGGAGTGTTATGGTGTATGGTGTGTTGTTGAGGAGATCTAGATTGTAACTGTGACTGACTAGTTAAAGACTTTATAAAACTCTAACATTTGGTGAAGGATGGTGCAGAAAACCACTTGTCTTATGGACACCTAAGACAAAGTCTTGCAAGTTTCCCTGTTCATTAAAACTATCACCTATCAAAAAATAATTACCTCATACTGCTCAAGCGCTTGTTTCCGTTCTAACTCGAGCTGCTCCAGCTGTCGCATGGCCTCCTGAAGGGCCTGCTCTTTCATTACACGCTGATTCTCCAGCTCCTGCTTTTCTGCCTCTGTTGTCTGAATGGCCTGCTGCTGCTCCAAATGCCACTTTTCCAGTTCAGCCCTCTTGCAAGACTCTTCTTCTAATAGCCTGCAAAAGTAGAAAGCTCAGGATCACATCTGTCTGGGTCACTACATCTGCCTCAGCAGATGACAGGGCACTTTTCAGACAGGAGGGTGTGTGAGGTCATCCCCATACTCCTCTCTTTCTCTACACCAGGAGGAAACCAGGAACCAGAGAGGCCCATATTCACAGGGCTGCCAAGGGGACCCACATATCCTGCTCCAAGCTCTGCTTTATCTTTTTCTGGGGAAAAAAAAAATTAACATTTACAGAACTTACTGTGCCGTGAAGTAAGTTAAGAATATTTTCTCAATAAATCCTCAAAGTAAACTCAGGTACTATTATTATATATATTTTAGGGAAGTGAAGCACAAAGGTGAAGTGACCTGTAGGGGGTCATTTACTCGCAGCTGGAGGACCAAGTCTTGAAATTTCCTGGTTGCTATACCATTAAACATGCTTTCATTTAGTAAGAATCTATACTAAGGAAAAAGCTAATAATTAGACTAATGGAGAGAAGGAGCTAACAAAAGGTAGAATGATTATAGTCACCATTTACTAAACAATTCTAACATGCCATTTACTAAACATTTACTAAACATTTACATTTACTAAACAATTTACTAAACAATTCTAACAATACCTTTAGTATTAACAATTCTTCAAAGCATTACTATCCCTACATTACCGACAAAACAACAGAAAACCAAAGGACTTCAAGGCATGTTGCATAGGTAGCAGTGAATTTCCACCCAGGTCTGTGTGACTCCAAATGTAATTTTTTAATAATAAGCTACTTATCTGAGAATATCCAGCTATGTGGGTATTTAAATAAATAAACTAACATACAGCCCCAAGTATGAACAATGTGGTTAGATGTCAGCTCAGAATAGGACACACTGCATCCTGGGGCTGGCTTATCAATATTACAGTAAAAAGTTACTACCTAGTAGGATTTGCTCTTCCAGAACCAACAACAAAGGAAGTAACAGACTGTACAGTCCTTGTAGGATGAACCCCGTATCTCAAGCCCTCTGCCCCCAAGCCCCACCTGCACCACTGTTAGGGTTCCTGCTACAACATCCTGCACAGTGTCAATCCAACTCCGTTCAAATACTGTGTCATTCACCACTTCAGAGATCAGGCCATTATATTTATGGGCAACCTCAATCCTTAGAAAGTTCTTCTTCATGTTTAGATGAACTCTCCCATCTACTATGCCTAGTTCCTTAGATGTCTCTTGGAGTGTGATGTCCCCAACTAAACACAATCCTACAAATGTGGTCTAATCAATAGAGTTTATCCATTCACTTAACTTGTATATATTATGTGCCTTCTATGTGATTTTCGAGGCCATGGGTATGTAGCAGTGAAAAAGACCAGAAGTGCACCGTTTCTTTCATCCTAGAAAATTACAGAGGGGAGGAACGGACATTTTCAAGTGTTTTCTGTTCTTTCATGTGTCTAGGGAATCAGCCACAGGAGGCGTCTTGATGGAGAATAGGGCCCATCGCCCACTACAGAAGTCACAGGTCCTCCCTGCCCCTGACAGCCAGGGCATGGTGGAAGTCTGAGCTGGGCTTGGCTAAGCAGCTGGAACTCTATGAAGCATGTGACACAAAGGCAAAGGAATTTACCTTGCTGGTGGCAACAATACCCAGTGTCATGTGACAGAAGAGCAATGGTTGAACTACTTACAAACTTGGCAAGAAATTCTTTTTTTGCTATAGCTAACAGAAGTTGAATTCTGTGGTTTAAAAACAAGACCCTTGACCAAAGACTAACCACTCTGAACCTCTGTATTCCCACCTATAAAAAAAAAAAAAAGGAACAGAAACTGCACCTAACACACAAGATTTGCTGATGCATTAGATGCAATAATGCATGTGAGGTCCTTAGAACAATGCCTATCACATACTAAGTACTGAATAAAATTATTACTTTGAGACTATGACCTCATTTGCTCTGGATACTTCACATCCATTAAGCTGCCTGAGAGCATATGAGGGTTCTGGATATCATTTCAGAGAGAAGTAAAACTGAATCTTTTCAAAGGAATTGCTATTAAGCCAAATCTTCTAGATCCTGTACTTATTCTATTGCTATATTAAATTGTCTTCTTGGTCTATCATTCCAGCCTACCAATATTGTTTATGAATGCTTATTTTGACATTCTACATATCACATGTCTTTCTTATCTGCAAGTAAGATAGAGGAACAAAAACCAAGTGACTGAGTGACTACCCAAAGTCAGACATTACACTAAGCCATTTGCATGCATAAATCTCATGTAATCCCCACAGCAACCCTCAAAGGTTAACAAGCATCCTTATCTTATTGGTAAGGAACTGAAGGCTCAAAGTAGTAAATTGTCTAAAATTACACAGTTAGAAAGTAGCAGAGATGTCTCAGATGTCCTCACAGTTCAGTTCCTTACTGCCTTCAAACACATCAAAAAGTATTATGGGAAAGAAATTGCTATTCCACAGTGGCTCCAATAAGTAGAGCCTGGATCCATTCATTCATTCAAAAAATACCCTTTGGAGGTTAACGGTGTCAGGCACTGCATGAGTTGTTGGGCATACAGGCATGTATGCCCCCAGATATTACAGATCCAAAAAATTAGCAGGTGGAAGTTTATTTTTTTAATATTTATTTATTTATGCATAGAAGAACTTGAGTGTAGACCAGAAGTGCAGGGCATAAGAGGATCCACCAAAGACAGAGTGGGGATCAGAACAAGCGGATTCACTCACATACACTGCTAAGGGGAACAGTGGGAGAGACAGGAGGGGTCTGTTGCGCCTTATGTGGGTTAGTTCCCCGGCAAGGGATTGAACTCAGGCCGTGGCACTTATAGTAGTGAGACTAATCCCTAGGCCACCAAGGTGGCCCCTAGCAGGTGGAAGTTAAAATGGGATCTAGTATGGCTCAGCTTCAAAAGCTTCAATAATTGAGCTGTCTAACTGATAAGTGAAAAGTTTTTTTTGTGAGTTCCCAATCAGGAGAGGCTAGATAACCTTCAGAACTACATATCAAAAAAAAAAAAAAAAAACAAAACAAAACAGAACAGAACAAAAACAACTTCAGTTTTAATTAAGGGAAAAAAAAAAAAAAAGACAAGCTCCAGGTGGTGGCTCAGGTCAAAGTTCTTGTATTTAAACAATTTGCTATAAAAAGTACCTCTAGAAAAACTTAAGGTACTGACAGAGAGAGGGCCATCACTGGAAGGACATGACATGCCAAATATTCCATGGATGACTTGCTATCACTTATACAAAGAACAGGGAAATTAAAAAGTCCTCTGTACACTCCCTGGGCTATAGACTATGTTTGATTTCATTAGTGCCAGACTTAAATGTTTTACCCTAACCTAATGACATCTTTTCTTGATTTTATACCCAGAAAGGCCTACTGTGAGGAGTGAGAGCTAATTGAATGTCGCCTTTGTCAATCTGACAAAATCATTATTTTGGAAGGGATGAACTCCCCTTACCTCAAAATGACCACTAGAGGGGGCAAATAGGTCCATTTCTAGTTCTAAAAACTAAACTGAAAGAAAAATAATTAAGACTAGTAAAACAGAGATGGGGAAGGGAGAGGCCCAGTGGTGGAGATTGTTGGGGCACTAACTGGTGGTGGGCAGGGTGTGACAGCAAACATTTTCATAGTTCTGAAGCTATAAACCCCAAAGCAGATATAAAAATATAAACCTACTTTACACAATAAACAAAAATTGGAAAAAATAATAATAGTAAAATAATATCCATAAAGGGTCTTTGCACACCAAGAAAAAGTTAAACTTAGCAGCAATTTTTAAGCTTACTGGAACAGAGCCCGAGGTAATATATTTGCATCAAAAGGCTGAAACCTACTTACTTAAATCAGTGTACAAAATAATTAGCCAGTGCTTTTTAAATAACATTACTTATGCCTGGCTCCTATCCATAGATATTCTGATTTAGTATATGTGAGACAGGCTCTATATGTGCATTTTTATAAAGCTTTAGAGGTGATTCTGATGTATACCTCTAATTAAAAATTTTAAGTTTCATTGTCCAAAATTGTCTCTTATTCAAAACACCTCTCCTTCTTAAGTACAAAATAAATAATACTTTAACAAATTGCTGGTTAGTTGAATCCCTATGACCTAATCTCTGCTGTGTTATAATCAACCTCCTTAAAACCACAGGAAAGTAATACATAGAGCAAGCTCATCTGTGAATTCTCTGTACAATCTATAAACTCACAACATATGACAGATGATAAAAAAAACTCAACAACCATCCAGTGTATCTTAGAATGCCTCTCTCTAGAAGACACCTGATTCTGTATTAACATCACTGCCCAGAGATGGCTGTCCCGAGAACTTAGCTAACATCACAGCTCAGTGATATACTGTGGGATCTATAGATGCTGGGAATATGCTAAGCATTTCATTTTCTATTTAGAAGATTTTTTTTTAACAGAATTAAAGTTTTGAAAACCTAATTAACTTGTTTTTGAGGTCATTTTGGTAAAGTACACAACAAAGAAACCTTTGGTATTTCTTCCTAAATAAAGGTTAAACAAACACCTTTTGCTGTTCCACATGTGGAAAGGCAAGCACTGCACAGAAAGCACTGCAAGCTCACCTCACAAACGGGTCCATAAACTAGGTCAGACCTCAAGGTACGCCTGCACTGACCCACTGCTGCTACACGGCAAATACCACTTAGTGTTGTGGCCCCTGACAAGTCATCTTAAAGAAAGTAAGTGGAGAAGCAAGTTAGAAATGGAAGAAAATAGCTCAAATTTTCCTTTGGGCTCTTGAGTCTACTTTGTTCTCCCTATTACAACAAAAGTCAAAAATGTAGAGTTCTCGGGCCTCCCCGGTGGCGCAGCGGTTGAGCGCTGGGTTGCGAGGCTGCCCGCGGCCTCTGCAGCGCCGGTTCGATCCCCGGCTGCTCCCCGGCCACCGGAGGAGGGTCCCACATGGCGCGCAGACCTCCCCTGCCGCCCGCTGCTCCCCTCAGCAGTGTACTTCGGTCCTTCTGCCTGCTCTGCTCCCGCTCTGGCTCTGGTGAATTCTCTCACCCTCCCGCGCTTCTGACTGTACCCAGTGCATGTATAAACAAAACAAACAAACAAACCAGCAAACAAATAAATAAAGCATGCCTCTATCAAAAAAATAAAAAAAAAAATAAAAAAAATGGAGAGTTCTCATCTGAGAACAAGACTACCATAGACAGTACACCTGACTTTAAAAGTTCTAAGGGAAAAAAAATCGAGAACTTTTAAAAACTAAGATTTTCAGTAAGGATTTTTTTAAGTAGGCAGCTCTCCTGCCTGCTTGTGAGTATATATAGGTGTTTTGTTTTGTTTTTTTCAGACCTTTCCCTTTGCAAAGCAGCAGTGGCAACTCTCCTGCCCACCTGTGACTGAGCAGGTACCTCTCTTTTTCTTTCTCCTTTTCCTAATAAACCTGTCCTTTTAAAATGTTTAAAAAAAAAAAAAAAGGATTATTTAAGTAGTGTCACCAATCCCTGAATCACCAGATGGAAACTGCTTATTTCCTCCTTATCCTCAGAGCAGTTGCAACTATGGCCTAAAGGAGACCTCTTCTTCCACATAAGAGCCCTTTCTGGTCTGGAACATGTTGAAGAAACCAGATCTGATCCTGGGTCCACAGACATTCTAGAACATGACTAAGGGTACCACATCAAACACACCCACCAGATTGTCCTAAAATAGATATATGGCCAGTCCCCAGCCCCAGAAACTAGGGTCTTCACTGCCCCAGACTGACAATAAGTAACCAGCCATCCAAGCCTCCCTCCAATCTGACAGGGACATAGCTCCCTTTCCATCAGAGTGTTGATCGTTCACAGGAAGTATTTTAGCCCAAGCGAAGAACATAAAGACACAGTGTACAAACTGATTGGGCACCTGGCCTGAAGCTTCCGCACCGTCTCTTCATCTTGCCGGGCCTGTCTCTCATCCTCAAGTGCTTCTTGCAGCTTTAGGTACATGTCTTCCAGCTCTCGTACTCGCTGCAAATACTGTTCCAGTTCAGAGGACTTCTGGGCAACCTGTTCTTCCATCTGCTGTCTGATCTGGTGGTATAAAAGGGTCATGTTTAAAGACAGGTTGACTTTGCCCTCAGGAAAAGCCTCCCGCTCTACCACCATCCTGAGGGATTGCTCAGCCCACAGAGGCAGCCCTTCAGGGTCACAGGTCTTGTCCCTCACACTTTGAATCTGGGATGGAGGAAGCAAGAGCACCACACCCAATACCAATTAAGACCACACCCAAGCACTGCAGGAACCAAACTATAACCCAAATGCTGTTTCCCTGCCCTGGTATATTTCCATCCCTTCCACTTCATACTTTCAGGCTCAGGTCAAGAAAAAAAAAGTTTCCCTGCATAATTTCTCTTTAAATTTCTTTCTGTCTTAAAATTATAACCTTTTTACCAACTAAGTCTTCTCTAAAAGTAATAAACTAGTCACATAGGAACAGACAAAGGTTAAATTAAAGCGGAAAGGAATGATTGCTCTGCAGTGACTCTTTCTGAATGCATCTGGCTGCCTTACCTTCCTTTTCCCCTCCCTAGAGCACTTCCCATCCTGGGGGAACTCAAACGGTTTAGTGTCCTAATAAGTCCTATGATTTCTCCCTTCTGGATTAAAAAGTTTTGAATCTCTGACTTAAAAAGTAAAAGACATGGACATCTTAAATGCACTGTCATACACACTAGCATAAGTCTCTGCAGTTTACAAAATCTTTTCATTTGTATTAGCTCACTTCATCCTCCCAAGAATCACAAGAAATCACATGATAGCCCTCCTAATTTAATTAAGAGAAAACTAATGCCCATCAGAAAGAGCTAAGAAGAAACATATTCGGATCTCTTGGATGAGTACAGAACTCCTTCAATTACAACTGCCTTCATCTATGTGCTTTTCTCTCATACCACAACCACATTCATTTCATCTCTAAGAAAAAAAAGTTGCTGAAGGAAATGCCAAGAGTATCTATTTAACAGGTACTGGACTCAGCACTCTCCCACACACGACAACTCAATGTGAGAAGACCTGTATTCCAATTAACCAGCAAACTGCCTAAAGCAGCCTGCCCTCTAGGTCTCTTGAAGATGGGAATCTCTGAGATGAATCAGAGCTTCCAGGAGCAGCAGACTAGAATTCATATGTTCTCATGATTTCAGAAAACCCAACTTTGCTCATTACTGAGGAGCAATGTCATGGAAACTGTGCTTACTTTTTCCATAGCTATTTATTTTCCGAGACAGGGCTCTGAGAAGGAAAAGGGATACTATTAATAATTATACCAGATTGGCAGAGACTAAGCCAGACAAACCAGGACAAACAGGCACCCTAATCACAGAACTTATCACCGCATCTCACAAATTTCTACTTTGGGATCTTGAAAGCAAAGTCTATGGCTTTTACCTTTACATCCCTGGTCTTGTTCCTGGCATACAGAATGTGCTCAATAAACTGATAATGGATGCATAAACACATAACTTCCCCAACAGCCCAGCAGCAGAACTAAGCTTACAAAAGGTAGCTTCACTTTAGTCCCCCAAGTCTTCACACCTCCACAGACCCAAGCAGGAGTTCCTCAGTCACATGGTACTCACAAGTTTCTCTCGCTCCAACTCTGTGCTGAACCTGGCCTGTAGTTCCACTTGAGTCTGAAGGCGTTTCTTTTCTTCTTCTGCTGCGCGAGATGCTGCTTCTTCCAGTTTCTAACCAACCAAGAACACATTCACAGAAAAGCACGAATTACTACAGTGGATATACACTTACAGCAAAATGACAAGAGATCTGTTTTTGAGTTCTTTCTGTTCAATTCTGCCATCTTACAGAACTGAACAGAAAGCCTTGATAGAGCCTGACTTCAGTCAGGATGGCACAGGAGCTCCAAGGACCGTTTCACCAGCAAAACCACCGTAATTGGTGAAAATTATTTTAAAACAACCTGGGAATTATCCTAAGGGCATATAACAAATGGGGAACATTTATCCAAGAAAATCACTAACTCTCTGTAAGAACAGTGCCACAGCAAGCCACAGCAAGCCCCCTTCCACCAGAAGAACTAGGGAGAGATAGCAAAGAAGAACCCTCCAGTAGTAGGAATAAGTCTCAAACTTTGGTGTCAAAGACATTATGGGGTCTGAATTTAAGTATCAGACTGGGGGAATTTAGGTCCCAGGGCATCGTGGAAAACAACAGATCAGCTGGAAATTAGTGAGATCTAGCAGCTGGGTAAGACACCAATAGAGGAAGACAGTTTAATGGAGATCAGAGATAGACACTGAGAGCCGAGCTAATCACCTAGTTATCCTGGATACAGTGGACTTGCCCAGGGCTGTGTGTCTGAGGAGCCTGCGAGAAGCTTTACACCGTAAGAAGAGCAGACACTACAATAGCCCAGCCAACTCACTAAGTAAACAGACAACAAGAAGCCACTGGGTAAGGGGAGGAAGTCCTATCCAGAGTTACTACATGTAAATGTTCAATTTCCAACAAAAATTATGAAACATGAAAGAAAGAAGAAAGTGTGATTCATACACAGGGGGAAAACAGGCAACAGAAATTGCCTCTGAAGGAGCCCAGGTGGTGGATTTAGCACTGACTTAGAAAAAAGTTATTAAATGTCCAAATAACTAAAAGACAGCATGCCTAAGGAAGTAACAGAAGACATGATGCTATCCATAAGACAGACTAGCAATAAAAAAAAATTATAAAAAGAATCAAATGGAAATTCTGGATTTGAAAATGATGATAACTGAAATGAAACATTCACTGGAGGGCCTCATAGGTGTATTTGGGCTGCAAGAAGAATGTACCAAAGGTAGAGTAATAGAAATTATGCAATGTATGACACCTTTAAGTGCACCAGCATTCACATAATGGGGGCATTAGAAGGAGTAGAAAGTGAAAAAGGAGTACAAAAAATATTTGAAGAAAAAATGGTTGATGACATACCTTGTTTGAAGGAAAACATTACAAAGTTATGCAGCACATACTGGTACATACTGACATTTTGGTCTGTGATGGACCACTTATTTGATGTAGTCCCCAGATTCCTACTGCCTCCTGACACTACAGGAGCAATACGAGGTCAGGGATGACCCAGCTCCTCATCCAAAATGGAGCAATGTTTAGAGAATAACATATATTCTATGATGTTTGCACAACTGTGAAATCACCTAATGGGGTATTTCTCAAATATGAGATTATCAACAAGAAGAAATTATAAAAAGTACTATAACCAAGGCTAAATAGTTAAATTGCTTTCAGGTCTTAGAGAACAAAAGAAAAAAAATTACTTAACTTTCTCTTTGAGGATTGTATTTAGAGTTGTTTATCTACGCCTGAGTAAGCAGAAGTGACTAACTTGAAGTGAGTTCCAAGCCTGGCTAGAGCCAGAGCCAGAAGACCACAAATGCAGGAGGGTGGGGGGAGGAAGAGGACTACCCAGAGGCCGAGGGCACACCAACAGAAACTCAAAACCCCGCTTATTGGAAGAAAAACCTCTTCATCCTTATCCATGCATGAACTGCCTTATAACTAGGCAATGGATTTCAGTCAAGTACACACTTCTTTGCCTCTAACCTGATTTTCAGCCAATATAATTTAACTCCTTTGTTTTCAACCCTAGCCTCCAATATCTGTATTACCTCACTCCCTTTCTTATCCGGAGAGGTAGATTTGAATTTGTGTTTTCTGTCTCCTTGTCAATCAATTCATAACAAAACTTCTTTCTTTTCTCAGAACCCTGGTGTCATAATAATCTGGTTTCTATGCACAACAGGTACCCAGCCCAATGCTGGGTAACAGAACTATACCTGTTGTTAATCAATGCATGATTGCAATCTATATATCCAACAAGTTCAATGAACTCTAGGAGAAACGGAGACCCATTCCCACACATCACAGTAAAATGTGAAACACAAAGACAAAAAGAAAATCTTGAAAGCAACAAGAGAAAATGTATTCATCACACACAAGGAAACTGCAGTTTGACAGCTGACTTCTTATGAGAAACATGTGACTAGTTAGAGCCAAAAAAGTGAAGTGTGAGACTTTCCGGCTGGGGTACTTAATTGTCAAACCCTAGAACACCTTTCCACAACACAGTGAATACCAAAACCTAAAAGGGTGGCTGACCTATGAGCCTGGATTTCATAATTATAGATGTAAACCCCAATCCAGCAATCCCACCTGTGAGAATTTAAAAATACGTACGTATGCATTTGTATAAAATTACCAGGTACAAGGTAATTCTGTGTACCATTATCTATTAAAACACCCAAGTGTTCATCTATAGGAGATGTGGTTAAAGAAGTAAAGATACAACCATCTAATACAGTATTATATAGCTATTATAAATGAGGATTAATAAAGAAAATTTTCAAAAAATATATAAATTTAGTGGAATAAACTAGACACAGAACAGTGAGGATGAATATGTATTTTCGGCGTTTTATAAATGGGAAAACAAGAATAGATTCTTATTTTCATATATATGTATATTTAAAAACTCTAGAAGGGGGGCCTCCCTGGTGGCGCAGTGGTTGAGCGCTGGGTTGCGAAGCTGCCCGCAGCCTCTGCAGCACCGGTTCAATCCCCGGCTGCTCCAGGGTCCCACATGGTGCGCAGACCTCTCCTGCCACCTGCTGCTCCCCTCAGTAGTGTACTTCGGTCCTTTTGCCTGCTCTGCTCCCCACTCTGGCTCTGGTGAATTCTCTCACCCTCCTGCGCTTCTGACTGTACCCAGTGCTTGTAGAAATAAATAAATCAATAAATCTTTAAAAAAAAAAAAATAAATAAATAAAAACTCTAGAAGGATACACAGAAATGAAATATAATGGTATTCTTTCTAGGTAAGACTGGAAACTATGATTGTATTATCTATTCAAATTATTACATTTTTTAAAAGAAACAAAAGTATAAATAAAAATTATTTGGTGGGGGGGGTTAAAGAGGTCAAGCACAGAGGATTTTTAGGTCAGTGAATATACTCTAGATGATATTGCAATGGTTGATACATGTTATTACACATTTGTTTGAACCCATAAAATACAGAATACCAATACTGAACCCTAAAGTACATTATGAACTTTGGCTGATTATGAGTGTCAGTGTAGCATCATCAATTGTACTAAACGTCCTGCTCTAGGTGGGGATGATGGAGAAGGAAAGATGTCCCCCAAAGTGGAGAGACTGACACCGGGACAGGCAATGCATCTGCGGGGATAGGGAGAATATGGGAAATCTCTGTACTTTAATTTTATTATTAGAACCTAAAATTGCTCTAAAAAAGTAAAGTCTTCTTAAAAATTATTTGGGGGCCTCCCTGGTGGCACAAGGGGTTGAGATGCAACCCATGAAGTTCTCGGCAGCCACTGCAGCACAAGTTCAATCCCCGGCCAGGGAGCAACCCACATGGCACAGCAGACCTCTCCTGACTCACCTGCTGCTCCCCTCAGCAGTGTATTTCAGTCTGCCTGTTCTGTTCCCCACTCTGTCTCTGGTGAATCCTCTCACCCCCCACACCTCTAGCCTGTACCCCAGTTCTTATATGCATAAATAAATAAATCTTAAACAAAATAAAAAATGAAACTATTTGGGTAAACCCTTTAAAGCAATCTGTTAATTTATAAAAAGGATATGATTTCTTATTCCTTCTGAATTAAAAGAGGTCTATTAAATGTTACAAATTCCACAAATATGTAGCCTAATTTTAGGTGATTAAAATACTTATTTTTTTTTTTTAATTTTTTTTTTAAATAGAGGCATGTTTTATTTATTTATTTATTTGTTTGTTTGTTTGTTTGTTTATACATGCACTGGGTACAGTCAGAAGCGCGGGAGGGTGAGAGAATTCACCAGAGCCAGAGCAGGGAGCAGAGCAGGCAGAAGGACCTAAGTACACTGCTGAGGGGGGCAGCGGGCGGCAGGAGAGGTCTGCGCGCCATGTGGGACCCTCCTCCGGTGGCCGGGGAGCAGCCGGGGATCAAACCGGCGCTGCAAAGGCCGCGGGCAGCTTCGCAACCCAGCGCTCAACCGCTGCGCCACCGGGGAAGCCCCTAAAATACTTATTGAAGCAGTTTTTTAGAAACATACTTCAATGAAAAACTGAATAATTCTATCTCTTGACAGAAAAGTAAATTAAATATTATTAAAGGATCTATAATAGTTTTCTAACATTTATCCATCAAACCTGAAATCAACTGCTTAAATAATTCTGTAAAGCTAGGTAGTGGGAAAGCTAGGTAAGACTAGGCCTTCTTAACTCCAGGGCATACATTCACATAACAGCGCAGGCCACCTACATTCTCCTGGGAGGCAAAGTTTGAAAGACTCTAAGAGGTTAAAAGGATGCCAGGTGGATGAGTCTCAAATGCATGATACAACGTGAAAAAAAATCTTGAAAACATACATACTGTATGATTCCATTTATATGACATTTTGGAAAAAAACAAAAACAAATAAAACCAAATCAGAGAACAGATCAGAGGTTTCCAAGGGTGAAGGGTGAGGGGTGGGTCTCAATGCAAGCAGCTGCAGGAAAAGACCTCTTTGAGTGTTTGTAGGGTAGGTAAAAGGTATCAGGCTTTTCTGACCTGCCGCCATTAGATAGATGAGGGAACCCTGTGGTCCTGAATGCATGCCTGATGGCGGGCACCTGAAGTGGGTACACCAGGGCTGAGAGACAGGGCTTTTAAGGGCGGCGTCACGGGGACACCAGCAGAAACCAAGAACAAATAGAAGCGGAGAGGAGCAGAGAAGCCGAGAGAAGAAGAGAGAACACGAGAGAAGGCCAGAGAGCCCAGATAGAGTGAAGACTTGCTGGGGTCTGGGAGGCCTGCCAGCCTTCTGGACCCCCAGCACCCTTGCCTGCTCTGTACCAGGTAAATCCCAATAAAATCCTGCAAAAGCCACTGAGGACTCTGACTCCTTCTTTACCCGGTCTGCTGGATCATAGAAAACCTGCACTGTGTCCATTCCTTTCCCTACAGTGTTGAAATTGTCCTGTATTCTGTATGTGGTAGTTACAAAAATCTAGGCATGTGTAAAGACTCATGAAACTATATCTAAAACTGGGCTTCCTTGGTGGCACAGGAGTTAAAGTCTCAGCGCTATCAAGCTATCACCAGCCACTGTGGCATGAGCTTGATCCCTGGCCAGGGAGTTACTCAAAAGGCTCAGCAGGCCTCTCCTGTCTCACCTGCTGCTCCCTTCAGCAGTGTATTTCAGTAGATCCACCTGTTTTGCTCCCCACTCTGTCTGTGGTCAATCATTGCACCTCTGACCTATACCCCAGTTCTTCTATGCATAAATAAATAAAAAATAAATCTTTAAAGAAAAAAGCTATATATAAACCACAAATCTTACCTATATAGCTTGTCAATAGTTTTTTAATTAAAAAGGAAGGAAAAAAGAACAACAAACTTATTTTTTTTTTTTTTTTAGAAATACTTCTTTTTTTTTTTAATTAATTTATTTATTTATACAAGCACTGGGTACAGTCAGAAGCACCGGAGGGTAAGAGAATTCACCAGAGCCAGAGCGGGGAGCAGAGCAGGCAGAAGGACCGAAGTACACTGCTGAGGGGAGCAGCGGGCGGCAGGAGAGGTCTGCGCGCCATGTGGGACCCTCCTCTGGTGGCCGGGGAGCAGCCGGGGATCGAGCTGGCGCCGCAGAGGCTGCGGGCAGCTTCGCAACCCAGCGCTCAACCGCTGCGCCACCGGGGAGGCCCAGAACAACAAACTTTTAAATAACAAGCAATATTCCACCTTAACTCAGGTAATCATTTCATGAGTATTCACTTTATGATGATTTGTATACACATATTTCATGCTCTCTTCTGTATGTGTGACCTATTTCATAACTTAAAAGATTATTAAAAAGAACACTAAGCCCCAGACCCCTGCTCCACTCTTATGAACTCCATTTCTGCTGTGTACACAGAGGATGGAGGAAACAATGATCACATCAAAAGCAGGAGCCCGCCCTAGCCTATGAAGGGAGTGCTAAAAGAAATTGTATTAAGCAGAAAGAGGCAAAATGCAAGAATGATTCAGGGGGAAGAGCAGCAAGACCTGAGGAGCTGCTTTTAGAAAATAGGTGTGCTGGATAAGAAGAACTATATCTAAGATTGTATGCTGTAGGGTAAAGAAAATATCAGGCTTTTCTGCCCTCCCACCATCAGGATAGATGATGGATCCTTGTCCTGAATGCATGCCTGATGGCGGGCACCTGGAGTAGGGTGTGGGCATAGGTAGATGGGATTCAGCTGAGCTGAGACTGTGTTTTAAGGGCGGCGTCACGGGGGGACGCCAGCAGTAGCAGCAGCAGCAGCAGCAGCAGAACCTGAAGGAGAAGCCGAAGCAGAAGCAGAGAATGCCAGAGAGCCCAGATAGAGTGAAGACTTGCTGGGGGCTGGGAGGTCTGCCAGCCTCCCAGCTCCCCAGCCAGCACCGCTGCCTGCCATATGCCTGGTGAACCCCAAATAAAAAACCTGCAAAACTACTGAGGACTCTGACTCCTCCTTTACCCGGTCTGCATGGGATCAGAAAACCTGCACTGTGCCCAGTCCTGCCCCTTACAATTGGCGTAAGTCGGCAAGATCCATGCAGACGGGTATTGGAGCCCTCCGAAGACCTGGAGGGACTAAGGAGTAAGTGTTTGCCTGTGACGACGCTGGAGGCGCCAGGGCGGCACAGAAGATGGATACGGTCCGGGAGCTGCAGGACGGGACCTGGCATGAAGGAGACGCCCAAGAGGACCAGCCAACGACACTGGAAAGGACCAGCCAATGACCCCTGAGGCAGCAGGCCGTTGCTGACGCAGGGAGAGGCCAATGGACTTGAACTGATGGACTGATGGACTGACATTCCCGCCAGAAGGCGGAGGACCTTGCAGGTTGATATGTTTTGGGACCCTGGGGGTGGAACAGTTTTGTTTGTAAACCCCAAGAGATGGGAATCTGGGGGTGGCCTGTGGGCCTAGATGGCCAAAAGCAGCCTGTGCATGCCCAGCAGCCAGGTGGAGGAGAAAAGCCAACTAAGTAGGCAAAAGCTGGTGCTGATGCTAAGTTGAGAAGCCCTAAGTGGCTGTTAAGCAGCCTGGGTATGCTGAAGAACTGTGAGTCTCGTAAAATCACCTGTGGGTGATGCCCTGCTCATTCTTGAGCGAGGGTGAGGAGCTGAGGAACCTGTCCTTGGGGGATGGGTGGGGAATGTGGCTTGGGGTGGAGCCCAAGCCACATGCAGAGTTTGGATCCCCGACCCATGTGCTTGTGCAGTGGGTTGGCTTGAGTGCAGGGGTCTGTGAGTCGCATAGGTGGCTGTGAAGGCCGAGTGTTGGAGCGACTGCAGAAGCCCTGAGGGTTGGCGATTACCCCCAACAGAATAAAATTGCCAATCCCAGAGCTAGTGCCTCCTGGGGGTGGATGCTGTGTGTGCCTTGTAGCCGAGACTACAGCCAGAGAAGGCCAGGAAGCCTGACGGCTCCTGGTGTGTTACAGTAGATGCCGTGAGTGGTTCCCCTCCCTTGTATGAGCAGTGCCTTCGGCAGCAGATTTGGTGGCTCATCTGCTGGTACCAATAATTGTCTTTTGCACTAGGTTGGGGCCCTGCCTGGACTTATTTGTGTTTTGTTGTATTTTGTTATATTTGACGTATTTGCTTTTGTGGGCCATGGCTGCATTGTTTGTTTGCTTAGAAAATTGTATATATGTATATAGACTGTATGGCAGAAAATCCTGAGGGGGTGGACTGTAGGGTAAAGAAAATATCAGGCTTTTCTGCCCTCCCGCCATCAGGATAGATGATGGATCCTTGTCCTGAATGCATGCCTGATGGCAGGCACCTGGAGTAGGGTGTGGGCATAGGTAGATGGGATTCAGCTGAGCTGAGACTGTGTTTTAAGGGCGGCGTCACGGGGGGACGCCAGCAGTAGCAGCAGCAGCAGCAGCAGAACCTGAAGGAGAAGCCGAAGCAGAAGCAGAGAACGCCAGAGAGCCCAGATAGAGTGAAGACTTGCTGGGGGCTGGGAGGTCTGCCAGCCGCCCAGCTCCCCAGCCAGCACCGCTGCCTGCCATATGCCTGGTGAACCCCAAATAAAAAACCTGTAAAACTACTGAGGACTCTGACTCCTCCTTTACCCGGTCTGCATGGGATCAGAAAACCTGCACTGTGCCCAGTCATGCCCTTACATATGCCCACCTGGTTCCTAAAATTATAAAAGTGTTTAAAAATACTTTGTTAGTCTACTCAGAGAAAGTCAGCAGAGTGTGGCATTTCCATGGGCTGCTAAGAGAGAACCCCATGTGGGATCTTATACCATGAGCAACTCCCCATATCCCAGGACAAAGGTGCTGCACAGGACACAGAGGGTCTTTGTTGTTAGAGGGTACTCATTGACTCAAGGAAGACAAACTCAACCCACAAATGCCCCCAAATAAGGCCATGCCCACACACTGGTAGGATTCACCACCGCCACCAGAATTGTGTTATAACAAAGGAAAAAGTTCTCCCGGTGAACTTCTACTATCCTTGCACAGCCTCTGGTACTTGAACTCTTGGCTCTGAAATGAAGTTCTCCTTCTGATCCAGAAAGTATCTTTTACTCCAAATAGTAAGAAAAACCCACAGTGCTATGCTGAGGGTCTTACAAGGTATTCATGAGAGAAGGTGGGGGCCAAGAGGGAAAAATTTCAAAAGCAACATGTCCTTTTGAAATGTTGGTCACCAAAAATTCCCCTGGGCCTCCCTGGTGGCACAAGGGGTTAAGACACAACCTATGAAGCTGTCTGCAGCCACTTCAGCATGAGTTTGATTCCCTGGCCAGCCAGGGAGCAACCCACGTGGTGTAGCAGACCCCTCCTAACTCACCCACTGCTCCCCTCAGCAGTGTACTTTAGTCAATCTGCCTGTTCTGTTCCCCACTCTTTCTCTGGCGAACCCTCTCACCCCCCACACCTTTGGCCCATACCCCAGCTCTTGTATGCATAAATAAATAAATCTTAAAAAAAAAAAAATTCCCTTAGCGTCCTCAGAGGAATTAAAATTTCTCATCTTTCTCTGATAAAATTTAATTGTGTTCATTGTTCTAATAAATATGCTTAGTTCTGGTCAATAAACATCCTTAATATGCTGAGACCCTCATGCTTTCAGAGCTGAGAAAAACAGGGTGTCTCACTCAACAGTCTAGCTATACTTCCTAAGAACACAGTTCACTAAAAAACCTCCCCACAGTTGCATGAACCCGATCTTTGTACAACCAAAGCTTATTAGTAAAGACATTGGTTTCTGCAATGAAGTAGAGTGCCCTGCCCACCCCCAGCCCAGAGTCCACTCCCACCTTCCTGACGGTCTCCAGCTCCTGTTGTTTGTTTTCATTGGCAGCCTGCAGCTCCTTCATCTGTCGCTCCAGTTCCTCCTGCTCAGCCAGCAGCTTCTTCCGGAGTTCTTTCCGACGCTGGCGGGCTTCTTTGTGTGGTGGGGGGCTGCCCAGCTTCAACAGATGAATGGTAGAATGAATGGCTGTAAAAAAGATGTAGAAGGGAAAAAAAGGGAAATGCCCTTTATTCATTGTAAACCTGACAGGTAAATGACACAGTGGGAAGACAATGGACGGAGACCCAGTGTAGATTGTGATTGAGTAGAGGTGTGACTTAGACAAGCCACATAACCTTTTAGAGCATCAGTTTCCTCATCTCTAAAACAGAGATGCTTTCTAAAATCCCATCCAGCTCAAAATTCCACAACTTTGTATTATGTTTTCAAATAGATTCCAGACTCAGGATTATTGTATATATTTGAAAATTTTATATTTTCAACTCCCTTCTCCATACTTTTCAAAGGGCTAAATAAGAATAAGACAAAGGAAGGGCTAAGATCAAAATTACTGATATGATTTGCTACCTGGCTTGTTTAGTCTGCCCTTCATTTATGTCTTATCTCCCTAAACACTCCCTTCCTGATATATCAGAGACTACCAATTACTGAATATTTGCTATTATGCACATTATCTAATTTTTATATGAAATCTGATTTCTTTGCGTATTACTTTAATCATTTAAATTTAATTTTCCCAATGTTTAATACGTTTATACTGGTCAAATTCAATAGCATGAAAGTCTCCCTCCCACTCCTATCCCCAAATACTAGCTTCTCCTCATCAGCAAATAATGCTAATAGTTACTTGTGCATTTTTCCTGAACTATTTTAAAGCCTATAGAAAAAAATATGTCTATTTGATCTCTACCTTCTTTTGAGAAAATGGTGGTATAACATGCACTTCTGAATGCTGGTTTGTTCACTTAAGCTTTCTTGGAGTGCTTCCCATCCATAAAACACAGCACAGCACTCCACTCTGTGGCTGCGCAGCAACTTAATCAGCCATTTCCCCATTAACAGCCTGTTAGCAATCCATCACAAACATTTCTGCAATGATGTGACATTTTAAAATATGTGCAAGAATATCTTCATTATCTAAGTATGAACTCTCACAAAAACACTGAGCTAGGTGCCACTACTACTTTTCCACAGAAAAGAAAAGCAGCTACTCAATATGCAAGTGACCCAGGAAAGATAATTCAAACCAGATGCAATTTCCTCTAACTCTTTTTTTTTTTCTTTTTTCTTTTTTCTCAGCATTAGTTCCTATTGAACCTTCTACCCAACTTGTCAGTATGAGCAACTATCAGAAATAATGTATCAATAGAAATACCAGGTTTTACATGCACAAAGCCAAGAAAACAAAGGATGCCAGATACTGACTTGCTATTGCACTGGCCTTTGAACCCCCAGCAGGAAGGCACTGCTGAGTGCAGATACCAAGCAGTGCAGTCCTCAAACTCTTAACATAAAAAATGACCACAATTTTACCTATGTCCAAGAACATAACATTCTAAATTTTCTTCAGTGATTTTTTAAAAATCTCATATATTGTGTTTTCATTTTTTACTGATTTTAGAATAATTAGCATAAAAGAATAATTAGTATAAAATTATTAACTCAAAAGTTCATGTTTCTTGACATAATCTCGTGAAAGTAAAAGATCCTGAAAATTAGTTTAAGTATTCAAAATCTATTGCATAATTCCTCTTCTGTTTTTCATGCTACTAAAAACTCAAGATATCCACTTAATTTTTCATAGTCCTTTCTGAAAGGGAAATTTCAGAGTCTTTAAATAGTAAGAGTAGGGGCCTCCCTGGTGGTGCCAAGGGGTTAAATTGCAGCACTATGGAGCTATCAGCAGCCACTGCAGCACTCCCTCGCCAGGGAGCTGACCCACGTGGCACAGCAGACCTCTCCTGTCTCACACACTGCTCCCCTCAGCAGTGTATTTCAGTCAATCTACCTGTTCTGTTCCCCATTCTGCCTCTGGTGAATCTTCTCATACCCACCCCCACACCTGTGGCCTGCACCCCAGTTCTTGTATGTATAAATAAATCTTAAATGAATCAATTAAAAGTAAGAGTAAATAAAAACTTGTCTGTCCAGTTTACAATTTTACCCAAGTTCATGAGGCAAATGAAATTGATAAAATACTTGAAAAGTCCTCTTAATTTCTTCCCTTTCAGCTACTATATCACAGGCAGAAATAACTATAGAGAATGAGAAAACACTGCCTTAGTCTCGTCAATGAAACTCAAGAATAGAAAGTCAGAGCTCTCAAGTTATATTCTGACAAATAATAAAAATTACCCTTACCCTGAATCCACTCCTGCTTCTTCTTCTTATCTGAAGCACTGATTTCAAAGGTCTTATCAAAACATTTTATGAGAAATAGACATTTCTTTCCATCTTTGTCAGGCAAGGACTAAAACAGTAAGCAAAATAAGTATTCAATCTTAATTATTTAGGCAAATTTAGGTAAGACTCAAGGTCAATGAAAAATATCTATAAATGCAATTACTGATTTATTAAACCTGTTTCCTAGGCAACATTAATTATGGTAACAGTGACCCCTGAACAGTATACTATATCTGAACCAGAAGAATCAACATCTGATGGGGTGCCATGCTTTTCCTGAGCAGGCATTCATTACTGGAACCCTGGAAGGTATTATCCAGAAACTGTTATAACTAGATATAGACTCCTATGGGCTAGAGGCCTCTAAGCCAGGTTAATTCCCAGAACCATCTTATGTAGCATTCCTCTCCGTGCACCAAATATGGTGTTGACAAGTTGTGGTTCCTGCGTTATATCCTTGCAAGGAGACAGGTACGGCCTAATCTTCTGAGTCTCCATGTTCAGTTGATTCTAAGAAGACCCCTTGGTGGGTGTTGCACAACCTAAGGAATTAATACATACCCATTTCATCCATCATAATATAAATGAGATCTAGGGTATTTTATATGTGCTTCAACAATATAGATAAAAGTTCAGATATAAATTAAAAATTCAAAACTTTATGTTCTTGAGGACTTCCTTAAAGAATTAAAAGGCATGAATAAAGTGTCCTGAAAGGTACCCAAAGTATTCAAAAGGTAACACTCATATCTTCTTTTGTCTTATCTATTGTTTTCAAAATGGCCCAGGTTTTCCGATATATTCATGATGTTAAACACTGCCTTAATGAACATTGGTTTTATTTTCTTTTTATGACTCCGTTTTATTCCAAAGTTATTACTTCAATGTATAAGCGAGATTTTATCCCTACATTTTGTTTACAAGCATAAAACATAAAAGAAATTTACTTAGAAAAAAATGTCAGTTATCTTAACTTTTGGTATAGAAAGTATGGCAAAGAAATTCAGGGCTTGTTTAAAGGCTCTAGAGTCGGGGCCTCCCCGGTGGCGCAGCGGTTGAGCGCTGGGTTGCGAAGCTGCCCGCGGCCTCTGCGGCGCCGGTTCGATCCCCGGCTGCTCCCCGTCCGCCGGCGAGGGTCCCACATGGTGCGCAGACCTCTCCTGCCGTCCGCCGGCGAGGGTCCCACATGGTGCGCAGACCTCTCCTGCCGCCCGCTGCTCCCCTTAGCAGTGTACCTCGGTCCTTCTGCCTGCTCTGCTCCCTGCTCTGGCTCTGGTGAATTCTCTCACCCTCCCGCGCTTCTGACTGTACCCAGTGCATGTATAAACAAAACAAACAAACAAACCAGCAAAACAAATAAATAAAGCATGCCTCTATAAAAAAAAAAAAAAGATTTAAAAAAAAAAATAAATAAATAAAGGCTCTAGAGTCTAGAGGAAGATGAGAAACTGCTTGAGCAGCAGAGGGCAGCACCAGGTAAACCATGCAAAGAGGTAACAGAAGACTCCTACCTCCACACAGCAGTTTTCATCCAAGAGAATGTCTCCTTTCTTATCTTTCAGATCCTCACTCACATAATAAGAAATTATATTGGGTTTTAGTACAAACCAGCGTTCTGTCCAGTTTTTCCGTTTATGGCCTTTTTTCATCATGTAACCCTATGAGAAATTAAATTTGGTATAAATGCCTATCCTTTCATTTTAGAAGAGCTGATGTCTCTTCCTTAATATTTTTGCCTACTCCATTGCCTGATATAATATCCTGAATACAAGAATAGCAGTGATTCTACCCCTTTGTGGACCATGAACCCTTTCAGGATCTATGAAGGCCAGGCTCATGATACCCAGTCAAGTTCATACAAGCACATGCAGAAAAAGTTTGCATAGAATTTTAGACAGAGAGATAACTTCCCCCCAACAGTTATATACAGATAACAGACTTAGAACACCACAATGTTAACAGCGTGGTGGTTTTTATAGATAAAATGTAATAGTTGAGGTTTGTTTCAAGATAATACCAGAGAGTCAAAAATAGGATTAACTATGTATTGATGGTTACTGGGATAGGTACTGGGTATATTGAAGTTCAGTATACTATTCTATTATGTTAAACACACACACACACACACACACACAAGTGATTCTTAGTAAATTAAAACCTCAATCAATAAAAATGCTAAAAGGTATCAACTTAACCAAGTATATCTTCTCAACCAGTCACTTTCTGCATTTTCACCTAACCTGTTACTACTCTGGAAAATGAACTCTACTACAATGAGCAGAAAAAGAACTGGTCCAGTTGTTAGGATACTGTTTTCTACAAGTGTCTTCCATGCTCACAATCACAATCACTGTGCTTCTTTACCATATGTCAGCCTCAAAGATGTACAGTTCAAATTTTTACTTCAGCAAAACTACACATTATTTTAGGCCAAAGTGCTGCAGGTTCAGGTTTAAGAATTTTAAATGTTAACTCTATTAGGTACTGAGAGACTATAGTAGATTATATATATATCATTAAATATACTAGCTCTGCTGTAAAAATCATTTGATTATTCTATTTCTAATTCATGGACATTTAAGAAAAAGCTTAAATACTGAAATTCATCTGTAGTACTATATCCATCCTATTGAATGGATATTCATCCTATTGAATCTAGAAGTTCTCTTTGGATAGGAATCATGTCCCACACTTCCTGATAGCACCAAAATGCTATACCTATACAACTAACCCTCAATTAAAATTTACTGGTAAAGGAACAAAACAAACCACTTAATAAGCAAACAAAGAGAAATTTGAAATTGAAATTATTCAATATAATAATGTAAGAAGTTTGAAAGATTACTAAAAATATATAAACATATAATATATAAACATACATGTAAGTATATATAAATTCTTTTTAATAGTCATTAAGCTTGCCATATGTATAGCAGATGTATGCAGGTGCTAAGAAAATAATCTAATAAGAGAAATGTCATTTTGCTATATTAAAGGTTTCTTTTTTCTAAAATTAAGAGTACTTTTCTGATTTTATTAAAATAATACAGAATAATACAGAATCAAAGTTAATAAGTCCAATAATATGAAAGGAGTAATGAAAATTTACAAAAAACCCAGAATACAGAAACAATTACTTTTTAACATTTTGGTGAGCATCCTTCAGACAACTCTACATCTACATACACATCACATTCCATGAACAGGATTACAAGATATCTGCTGGGCAACAACCTGGTCTTTTCACTGAGCAATCTGCCATGGGGGTCTTCTTGGTTAGATGTGAGTGTGAATGTATATAGGACATGAAAACATTTTTAAGACGGTTTAAATAATCATAGTAACAATTCTTTCAAACAGTAACTTCTGAATGCTCGACTGTACTTCAAAATTGTGCCAGTAAATCTTTAAAATGAAGCTTTAAAACAGTAAAAACGAAAAAAGTATATGTTCATCTTTGTGATGAAAATGTATTTCATTTCAAAAATCAAATTAAAGAGGGAAGGAGAAACACAGTAATACAGGACTCACCTGTTTCAACACATCTAATATAAGTTCATTAAAGACTTCATTAATTGCCATGGAGACTGTCTGCCGATCCATGCCTTTGCTAAACTGTCCATTTCCAATAAGCTCAATAAGTTCCCATGCAGAAAGGCCATCCTTATTGTCATCAAAGTTGATTTTATAATGTTCAAATTGTTCTTGCTGCCAACCTCCTCCCATCGCTTCTGTAAGTTTCTTAAGCAGGTATTCAATCTATACGAAAATTTAAAAATTATTATTTTTTAGTTAAAAAACTTTTTAATGTATATATGTATCTATGTTACATTGATGCAGTCAATTTAGAAAATATTCTTTTATAGTTCAAGTTTAAAAAGTACAAGTTTAGGGCCTCCCTGGTGGTGCAAGGGGCTAAGACACAACCTATGAAGCTATCTGTAGCCACTGCAGCATGAGTTTGATCCCTGGCCAGGGAGGTGACCCAAGTGGCACAGCAGACCTCTCCTGACTCGCCTACTGGCTCCTCAGCAGTTCACTCAATCTGCCTGTTCTGTTCCCCACTCAGTCTCTGGTGAATCCTCTCACCACCCCACCCCCAACACACCTCTGGCCTATACCCCAGTTCTTATATGCATAAATAAATAAATCTTTTTTCTAAAAAAAAAAAAAGTACAGGGGCCTCCCCGGTGGTGCAACGGGTTGAACGCCGCGCTATGAAGCTGTGTGCAGCCTCCGCTGCGCATGTTCGATTCCTGGCCTGCCAGGGAGAAACCCACATGGCACCGCAAACCTCTCCTGCCTCGCCCGCTGCTCCCCTCAGCAGTGTCTTCGGTCCATCTGCCTGTTCTGCTCCCCACTCTGTCTCTGGTAAATTCTCTCACACTCCCATGCCTCTGACTGTGCCCCAGTTCTTATATAAATAAATAAATCTTAAAAAAAAAAAAAAAAAAGCACAAGTTTAAAAAAATCACAATACTATCAGGGAGAAGGTATTTCCAATATGCACATTAAAGTTTGAGAAGCACTATTCTAGCGAACCTATGACCAATCCTGACCCAGGTCAGGTTTTCCTCTTCTATGTCATTGCATTTAGCACACTGTTTGAAATTGTCTGTTTAGTCATTTACTTCCCCACCGTTTTCTGAATTCCTTATAACAGGAGGAAATATGTTTCACTCATCTTTGAATTTTTAGAACTTACCATGGTACCTAGAATTTAGTAGGATCAGTTAATGTTTGCTAAGTTTAAACAGACTAAGCGCCAATTTTCTCATGTATGAAGGGGCATAATAACACTCATCATATATTATGTCATCTACCTTCGGTACTGAGTGAACTATCATTCAATACTTAAAATTATACTGAAAAAGTATTCATGAAACAACAAAGCAAAGAAGAATCTGAAACTAAATTTATCTAAGAGTTCTACTGCATAAAGATCATGTAAATATTTCGACAAATGCTAAAGAAAAACAGAAATAGTAAGTATAATTTGTTAATACTGTGAATTGATTTTTTCCTTTCTCTTCCTTTTACTTCCATCAACTTGACTATTGTTTGTGAAAAAGAAAGCCAGGAAAAACATGTTTGCAAAGAAATGTACATTCACACATTATCACCAAGTCAAAAAATATCAAGTACTTTTGATTTAATTTGATGATACTATAACTGCTCTACTATGGAGATTATCTTATCCCCTATATCTAGCATGTGGAAGGTGTTCAACAAATGTTTACTTGCTGGAGAAAAATACATTTAGATCTTTCCTTTCTCTTGTTGAAGATATATCATCTATTGTTAAGTTTATCAATTATTATTATCATCTTGCCCCTTACCAAGTATGGAAGGATAGTCGGTGAAAGAGAAAAAAAGGAAATGACTAAGGAAAGAAAGGCAAGAGGAAACTAGAGAATGTATAGAAAAGCAAGGAGGGGGATAATGTCAAGAAGAGACTAAAGAAAGATGAGAAAGGGAAAAAAATTTAAAAGGGTATAAAGATAAAATATTGCCCAAGCTATAATATTGTAGAGCCATTAATATGTACAGAAGTTCAATAGCCAGAAGGCAGCAGAAAGAACCCAGGCTAATGATAATTTGGGGTAATAATAGTATAGGCCCAATGAGCAGTTTTCATAGTCAGGCCAATGGAGGCATATGCACAAGGCATGTGCAGGATGATGAAAAGTGGGCATGAAAAGACAGTGCAGTGCTTGACCACTCCACTACAAGTTAGGAAACAGCCATAATTCTTCCTCACCACTATGAACAAACCCAAGCTCTCACACTCTGAGCTTCAGAGCCTCTTGTATATGGGATGGTCTTTCATGTTTCTAACTCATGGTAGCAAGCTATTGGTTAGCTTGCTGGAGGCAGCTGCTCATCCTGAATTTTCCTAAAGGTGCTCTTCCAAATCCTTCTGAGTTTATCTGCAGTACCTAGCATCTGCTCAGCATTCCCAGTGATTGTGCCAACAAACTAATCTAGATTCATTTCCTGTTAACTTTCAACACAATTATATACTTATCATAATAAAATAAGGACAACTTAATTCATTATATTGGACCAAAGAGAGTCAAACATTGCCATTCTCTTCTATTCAATTGTACTAAATAATAAATCACGTGCTGCCCTGTTAGTCTCAAGTGGCCTGCCTCAATTCTAAGAGCTCATTCAGTTTCAGGAAGCAGCTTACTTCCTCCTTCCAACCAAGTTTCACCAAAAATAACAAAGAATAAACTTTCAAGTTGCATGTGATTTTTGAGGCCTTTGGCTCCACAATTTATTTTGTTAAAAGTTTCTTTCCCTGTCATCATTTAAAGGGGCCTTTATTGGTTTAATAACAATTCAGGTTTTATTTCATTGAGTCTTCTTAAAACTATTTCAGGTTTGATATTTAATTGCATAAAAGCAGTTCTACCAAGTAAGCCCACAACAGACACATCCTGTTTTGTTCTTGACTCTGTGGAAAATGAATACTAATGTGAAAACTATAATTTACAGACACATATTTCCAGGAATATCATTTGAAAAGTTATAAAACCATCCCAAAGGGGAACATAATATTTTTTAACTTTTGTGTAGAAAACAGAATCAAAAGCAGACTTATTTATACCACTTATGCTATTCAGATAACTACCACTGATATATTTCTTATATTGTATTAATTGAAGCTAGAGAATAAAATCTTACTTTAAAAACACCCTGGATTTAGACAAAATGTAAATGATCATTATCGTAGATGGAATAATGAAAACATAAATTTAAGCAATTACTTCAAATTTACTAAGCCTAAAAGCCATTGGTAAGATTATAAATTAAACTTATGTATACACTCATGAAAAATTAGAAATAACTTCAAATGCATGTTTTCACATTTAACTTTGTTAGATCCATTAAGTCTAAAATGAGGTCAAAGTAGTTTTTAAATGTTATTACACTATTTAGGAAGAAAGCAAACTAACAGAGAATGGCCACCTTAAGAAATATTATGACTCTAGTGTTTTCCACAAAATAATATGACCTTGAGTTTGCAGTGCTTAGTCAAAGGCCAGGAGATGTGCTAAGAGCTCAATAAATACAAGGCTGTTATTTAAACCTCAGGGGACTGGTTCAGCAGCCTGACAAAGCAATTCCACATAAATCTGTGGCAATGATCCTTTCTTTCCCCCAGTCAAGTACTCCTGGTCACAGGGGAATAAAATGTAAAACTAACTCTAATTCTACTTCTAAACATAAGAATGTTGAAGGAGTTAAGGACATCAAAATCCATAGTCTGAAGGGTAACCTGACGAGATATGCTGCCTGGCTGTTCTAACAAGTCAAAGAGGCTGTTCTCTTCTCAAATGAATGCCGCTTGTTTGGAAACACTCCTGCCAGCCTGCAAAGATGAAGGTAAGCATGTTGCAAGGTATTGGCTGTGCTCTGGAGCACAGTAAAGAACAGTCACAGACACACCAGGCTCATGAGGGTCCCTGTTCTTTGTACCAACTGGAGCAGAAATCTTTTGAGCTTCTTTAGTAAAGCAAACAGGAAGCTGATACTGACTGACTCCTTCCACAGCCTGAGGCTTCAGTGATGACTGAAAGTCAGTGACAGTCCTTCACATCCAGTAAGTGCTACCTGGAGGAATAAGTCTCCTTACTCATTAATTTCTATTTCAGAAATAAGGACAAGGTCCCTTTCAAGTACACCATGATGGAAAGAACCAAAACATCATGGGTTAGAGACCCACCCCACCTCATATTTCCAAAGAAAATACAAATGATTTTGGAACACTGAGTGTAACTACAAAATGTCTTAAAAGACAATACTGGAGATTTTATCAGCGTAATTCTTCCAACCAGCAGTTAGGTTGGAATATTGGTATATTTTTTCCTATATCTAACAATATTCCATTCTCTTCTATATATCTCTATACTAAGTAGGATCAAAAATTTCATGAACAAAAATTTCACAGCACATTTTTTATTTCTCCTTAACATACATGTAAAATTTCTTGTTATTAAGCACTAAGAAACTATTTCCACCACTACAGTGACACTGCTTTTTCCTTGATTACCAATGACTATACCTCATTGTTAAATCCAAGGGCAACTTCTCACTCATCACCCTCTAATTTTACTCTAACATCTAAAACCAGTAACTACTTTTTTCCTTTTTAGAACTTTTTCTTTCTTTGACACCTATGACTCAACATCTTCCCAGTTCTCCTACCTCAGACTGTTCAATTCAGCTTCCTTCACCAAATCTACTTCCTCTTCCTGCTACAGAAACAAGTCCCAAGGTTCTGTCCTTAGCACTTACTTCTCTCATTACAGCCTCTTCCTCTCTGACCTAACCTGCTCCTTCTCCCGCCCTGGCCTCTTACAAGCTTAAGATGTGCACTTCAGTTGAATATGGATAGCTCCACAAGGATGCTCAACCTAAAAAGCCAAATGAACCAAACCCATCATCATACATCACTTCCCCAATTAGTTGATTATCATATTATTCATTCACACACACACACACACACACACACACAGCCATTTAGTGAGCAGTCCTATATTAAATGCTTCATATATACCAACTATTTTAGTCCTCACAAGAACCTAGTGGAAAAAGTGGTCATTCCCATCCCCCATAGTTGAGGAAAACAAATACAGTAATCAAGTAATAAGTTCAAGGACACAGTTAAAAAATGGTAGAGTCAGGATTTAAACCAGGTAGTCTGATTTCAAAGGTCGTGCTTTAAACAACTACACTATATTACCTCCTGATTTCCCAGGCCTGAAACTTGTCTATAGTTTCCCACCAGCAGGCACTAAGAGCTTGATCCTGTGACATCTACATCCTTCCCATCTGGCCATCTTCTCAACTCTCACTGACACTATTAATACTTTAGTCCTCAATGCCACTGACCTTCTCTAACTTCCCATCTTTCACACCTCCATATTTCACCATAAATATACCTGTCACTCAAAAAAATAACAACAACAATAATAATAATTAGCAGGCAACTATAAATCAGAGCCATTCTGCAAGGGATAGGGAGGCAGAGGGATCAAATCAGCAGAGGGAAGAGCACAAGGGACTATGGTGATGGTTCACAGGTGAACTGGTGGTAGAAAATTTACAGGCACTACACCTGAGAGGAGAAAGTATACATTGTACAAAAATGAACAATGATGTAAAATATATATAATTTTTTTATAATTTTTTTAAAAATGAACAATGAGGACCTCCCCAGTGGCACAGTGGGTTGAGTGCAGTGCTGTGAAGCTGTCTGCAGCCACTGCAGTATAGATTCGATCCCAGCCAGCTGGTGAGAATCCCACATGGCGTGGCAGATCTCCTGTAGCACCCACTGCTCCCCTCAGCAGTGTATTTCTGTCGTCTGCCTGTTCTGCTCCCTACTCTGTCTCTGGTGAATCCTCTCACCTTCCCGCACCTCTGGCCTATACCCCAGCTCTTGTATAAAAATAAATAAATCTTTAAAAAAAAGAACAATGATGTAAAATATGTATACTTGTCACTCTTCTACTCAAAAATCATTAATGGCTCAGAGCTCCCCACAACCTTCAGGGTAAAGTCAGAACTCCTTCCAGCTTCATGTACCACCATCTTCTTTACAGTTATCATGTTCCAGTTAGAAAGGGTCATTCTTTTTGGCTGCCAAGTATATAACTCCCTTCTTATACCTATATTGGGAGTTCTTTACCTCCCAATATAGAAGCAAAATGTGCAAATGTACCCTTTCCAAACCTCTTCTGCAGCTAGCTTATAGAGCCAGATCAAAGCCATACCAATTACATGACTCATCACCTGACTGTGAAATGGGATATGGTTGGTGGACTCTGTAGAGAACTCTCCCTGGCAGCAAGAATAGATGCAGAAAGATCTGAGTTCCCAGGAGGCACCCAGTGTGCAAGGCTGGAGGTATGCCATGGCACCAGTGAGACACCATGAGGGTCATGACAGCAGCATTTTCCTCATGGTTCTTCGCTGGGATCACCAGCTACCTTTCCTCCCTCCACATTCAGCTTTTTAGTCATCAAGGTGATACTGTAAGGTACCCAACATCCTTTTAAAAAATTCCTTTTTGGCTTTAGTCAGTCAGTCCATTTCCCAATAAGCATCCTGACAGGCAATTCAGTCAAGCTGCACAAATCCCTCATCTTTTACTTTCTTGCTTCATATAACCTTGCCTTTTACTTTCTTGCTTCAGGTAACCTTGCCCACTATTTCCTCCACCCAGAATTCTCATCTGCCTTCTTCTCCATTAGTCAAAATTCTTCTTGACTACTAAGACCCAGCACAAATGCTACTTTCCCCACAAATACTCAGTGAGTGTTTTCTAAGGGTCAGGCATTCTTCTCATTTGATCTTTACAAGAATGGCAGAGGTAGATACTTGCATTATATTAGTTGAGGAAACTGGAGCAAAAATAAATTAGGTAACTTGCCCAAAGTCACGTAGTTAGTGAACAATGAGTCAGAATTCAAATTCAGGAAATGTGGCTCCAGACCCCTGCTCTTAACCAGGTAATAGAAATTAAGGCCCACAACTCAAATAGCACAGAGGCCAAATCTGACCCACAGCATGTTTTTATACATCCATGATCTAAGGACAGCTTTTACACTTTTAAGCGACTAGGTGCGGGGGAAGAGGAATCAAACGAATAATATTTTTAACCCATGAAAAGTAAATAAAAGTAAACTGAAATGTCAACATTCATTTCACTGAAGCACAGAAACATATGTGGCTGCTTTCATGCTCAAACAGCAGCTGAGTAGTTGCAACAGAGGCAATATGGGCCCACAAAGCCCACAAAGCCTCAAATATTTACCATCTGGCCCTTTACTGAAAATGTTTAAGACCCTGCTTTTAACAACTATATTATATTGACTCTCTTAAAAAGCATTCCCTCAGAGACATACTGCAGGGGAGGAGGAGGGAGAGGGATCAGAAAGAAGAGCACGGGACGGTGGTGATGGTGCCTTGGGGAAGGAAATTCTATGGGGACTCAATCTGAGGGGTGAGGGAAGCAAATATTGTCAAAAAATTTTTAAATAAAAAAAAAAGCATTCCGTGATGCCTTTCTTCCAACCAAGCTGGAATAAATCTTTATCGTCTGTATTTACATCTATCGCTCTTAAAACAGGTAGTCTCTTTTGCTTTGAATTACATTGACTTGTTTTTCCCCTTTCAGCAAACTGTAAATTCCTTAAAGATAGGGATAACCTTTTGAAAACATGCCTATTTTAGTATCATAGCTTCAGCTTTAAACAGATACCCCTAACATGAACACTATCAGAGAAATCATGGAGTAGGCTTCACATTGGTAGGATGGCTAATAATGGGCATCCTCAACTACTACTGGTAGCTGTATAAATTAGTACAGTCTAAAGGGCAGTTCTGCCTTGTTGATCTAATACTTTGAACTGTGCATTTCTTAGTACAGAAATTCCACTGCTGGAAATTTATCCTAAGGAAATGAGCAGATTAGAGTGCAAAACGTATGCAATAATAGTAGTCTTAAGAGTTAACCTATTTATTGAGCTAAGTCCTTTAAATGCAGAACTGAGCTAAGCACTGAGCTAAGTCCTTTAAATGCAGAACTACACACTCTGAGGGTAAACAATGTTATAAGGATTTTTTCCCTATATTTTATAGATGAGAAAATTAAAACTCAAAATGGCAAATAATTTGTCCAAGATTAAGGAATTACAGATAGCTTTTTTAAAGGGAGTGACAACAGTTGATTTTAAGTTTACATATTATTAGCCCTTTCTAAATTTACTATTGTAATAAGTGTGTATTACATTTATAATAGAACAGTAAGAAATCACAGAAACCTTACTCTTGTATTTGCCCTCTACCCCACCTCCCCCCCGCCCCCAACCGCTTTGGGAGCTCAGGGAAAATAGAACAAAAACAGTTTTTCATTTTTTTGGAAAGATGGTAAAAAAGTCACCATCCTGGACTCTGAAATAAAAATAGGATTTCCTCACAGATCAGCCTTGGAAACAGCATTTTGGATTCTATATGTTTCCCATATAGCGGCACTAAGCCAGCTTTTCTGATTTTTCCAATATGCAAGTAGAGAGAAAATTATGTTGTGCCTTATACTGAATAAAGAATCTTTTGACATGAGGATGAATATTTATAATTACAGCAATTTAGAAAGGAAGAGCCCCACCCTATCTGCAAATCTCCAGGGGTATCACATGATCCCAAATCACTAAGTTTTAGACTTTTCTGAATTCCAGCTGTTGTGTCTGATTAAAAAAATAGCAGTCCAGGACCTCCTATATCTATACTCAGTTAATATAAATATTTCTGAGCTAGGTCTATTAAATGTTGAGATGGTCATTTTAAAACTTCTGAGAGCCACACCTTACCTCTTCTGGAACAATAATTAATGGATACTTGTCCTCTGATAAAAAGTTGAAAATAACCCATACTTTAAATGCATCTTCTTCTGTAATGAGCAGGGGACTTTTTGTGAGGTTTTTTTTGACACAGAGGGTCCAACACATTCTATTAAATTCAATCTTGTCAAAGTTACCTTGAACCTAAAAAGGAATGAGAAAAAACTCCTAAGAACCAGTCCAAAATAAGCGATATGTAAGCCAAGTAAAACAGAAAGACAAAGCTACAGATTTCCATGTATAATCAATTCACTTGCCCAATAACTATTTCCAAAGTATTTGCTTAGGTACCACATTTTTAATGGCTCAATTAAGAATGTTATATTTAGTCTGATACTGAAATATCTGTCCATAACACTCACTCAGCACACAAAATACTGGCTTCTTGAATCATTGTATCTCCTAAATAGACTACCAATCCTCACACACAGAAGAAGCTGAGGATGCCAATACTCAATATGAGCCACATGCACATATTTTTCATCTTTACCTAGATAGTCAGATACATTCTTTTGGGAAAAACTGCTAAAATGAAATTTTAAAAAGACAGCCCTGCCACTCAGTTAATTATACATTCAGCATCCCCTCAGTGTCTACTGTGAGCAAAGTACTATGCTACCAATTAAGGATATAAGATGAAGAACTTGGTATCTGCTCTTAGAATATTCAGTTTAATAGTGAAAAGAGATACAAATAAATTTTCATGTAACACCATGTATAATGCAGCAGATTTTCAGTCATTCAGCAGTAAAATATTTGGACAGTAATAATCATCTGCAAGGGACAATGTACAGATATTTAATATAAAACTAGTCCACATCTCCAAAGAATGTAAAGATAATTACAATATAGTAATACGTACTGTAACAGAAGAGCAGAGGGTTTTGTGAGAACATTGAGGAGCTAACCCAATCTTAGAATTCGGGGAAGACTTGCAAAAAGAGTGACAAAAGAACTGAATTCTAGAGGAGCATCTAGAGTCAAACACACCAAGAACAGAGTAAAATATTCCAGGTAGAACAGAACGTGAAGACCAGAAGCAGAGACAACCATGGAGTCAGTTTGGAAGAACTATAGGAAGTTTAATGTGAATGGGGCACTTGGTGCTGGAGGTGGTGTACGTCAAGGCTCTTCATAAGTGCAAATAACAGAAACCACTTTGGATTTCTTTAAACAGAAAAGAAATTTAATAAACAATGGGTAACTTCACAGTTCCAACACAAGCACTGAAAAATCTAGGATCTGAAACTACGCTGTTACCAAACTAGGCTAGGCAGTCAGACCCACAGCTGAAAATCTGGGAACAGCATGGTGGAGACACCACCATCAGTGCAATATGACCCTGTTGCTACTGACTCAGTCCTAGATCCTCTGTGTCACTCACTGAAGATTCAAATCCCATTTACTGAGCCTATTCCTATGCCCAGCTGTCCTATGCTCCAGCTGTCAGGAGCAAGGAAACTGAGTATTTGAACATTTCCATCTCTGAGATATGAGACCTGTCACCCCTCAAGATGCTGTGCAATTTTCCAAACATGAGAAAAGATTTCAAATGCTGGACAGTCAACAATGACAAATGGGCACTGTGTGTGATCCGGTGAAAGAAGACCAGATCACAAAGACTCTTATTTATATTTCATGTTAAGAAGTCAAAATTTATTTGTACTTAAAGAGTGGAATGGACTAACACACAATCAGCATTTTCTGCAGTGTGGAGCCAAATTCTGGGACAATATGGTAGATGTACTGGAGTAAGCAGAATGGATGACAGGACAATATAAGCAAAGCATCTCTTTTTTTCTTTTTTTTTAAAGATTTATTTATTTATTAGATGACTGGATCAAGAAGATGTGGTACAGATACACCATGGAATATTACTCAGCATTCAAAAAAGATAAACACATGCAATTTGCAGCAACATGGATGGCGCTGGAAGGGATCATGCTCAGCGAAAAAAGCCAGAAAGAAAAAGGAAAAATACCGATAGTCTCACTCATAGCAGGAATCTAGAAAACTTAAATAAGGGACCAGGAAAATGAATAACTATAAGAAAGAAAATATCAAAATCAACAAACAACTATGAACCAGAGACATTCTATGGGGGTGGGGGACGGGGAAAGGAGGGGTTGGGGTCAAATAAGGGGGTTATAATTGTATGGGGAATATAAAAATAAAATTTAAATAAATAAAAAAAAAGATTTATTTATTTATTTATTTATTTATTTATTTATTTATACACGCACTGGGTACAGTCAGAAGCACGGGAGGGTGAGAGAATTCACCATTGACAGAGCAGGGAGCAGAACAGGCAGAAGGACCAAAGTACACTGCTGAGGGGAGCAGTGGACATGGCAGGAGAGGTCTGCGTGCCATGTGGGACCCTAGCCGGTGGCCAAGGATCTAAAGGGCACTGTAGAGGCTGCGGGCAGCTTTGCAGCCCAGCGCTCAACCGCTGCGCCACTGGGGAGGCCCACAAAGCATTTCTTTTTAGACAGACAGGAACGAAGTGTTGTGAGTAATATAAGGAAGAAGTCACTTGATTCTTCCTTGCAGAGAGAAGTTTTTCTTGATTTCTCACTAGAATTTGTGGTTAGGAAACCAGTTTCTGTGGGATCAGAAGAAATGCTTTGCACGCTCCCTCTAGCACCAGAGCTCAGCCTGTCACCATTTCTCATGTCCCTAGTGCAAATAATTGATCCCATGAAGAGAAAGCTGTGCTGCTGTTTCTTTTTCTTTTTTTTTCCCCTTTTAACACCATTTATTGAGGACTTAGATGTTCCTGGCATTTATATGCAATTTCTCACTTAAACTTCAGATTAGCCCATGCAAAGTTAAATATTGTTCCTATTTTACAGGTCAAGAATCAAAAAAATCAAGTACCAAATTTACATAATTAGTAAATATCAAAACCAGAGCTTAACTCAAAGCTCAAATGCTGGCTCTTTTCATTATAGCAAACTACTTGCAGAATTCAGTAGATGTGGCACTTTTACATGATGGAAGAAAACTGCAGAACTAGTTCCAGAGGCCGCCACCATTAACTCTATCCACCCAAACCCCTAAAAAGCAGTAAGTGGAAGCTAGGCCACACAGGGGAAATGACATGAGCACAAAAGGATACTGCCTTGCTCTGAGGAACAAGAAGTGATTCCATGTGGATACTGTGGTAGATAACAGGGTGCCTGAGGGGGAATAGAGGATTTGTGACTGGAAAAGCAAACTCAGATCAAATTCCAAAGAGCTTTATAATTTTAAGAAATAAGCTATAGGAGAACCCCCAACTGAAAGGTTTTAGAGGAGGGGGCCTCCCTGGTGGCCTAGGGGTTAAGTCTCAGCACAATCAACAAAGCAGCCTGAGTTTGAACCCCAGATCAAGGAGCTAACCCACACACGATGCAGCAGACCTCTCCTGTCTCGCCCACTGCTCCCCTTAAGTAGTGTATTTCAGTAAATTTGCCTGTCTGCTCCCCACTTTGTCTCTGGTGAATCCTCTCACCTTCTGCACCTCTGGCCTGTACTCCAGTTAGTCTACGCATAAATAAATAAATCTTTTTTTTTTAAAAGGTTTTAGAGAAAAGAATACACAGGTTACATTCAGCCCAGATTAGCACTTTGCAGAAAAGTAGATATTTAAGGCATACCTTATTGTATATTGATTGAAGACTGCAAAGAAAAGTTTTCCGAAAGACAGGAAAGGAAATTGCATGAGCAAAACCATGGCAGGATAAGCCCACATTTTGTAGAACAAGCACATTCCACCATGTTTAGAGAATAATAACAGGATGCAAAGGACAAAAACATAGGAGGAGGAGAGATAAAGTGCTCAGTCACAGGCATCTTCAACTTGAAGTGCTGGTAAGACGTTTGGATAGAGGAGCCCAAAAACTATCAAACAAATGGAACTATAAGCTAAAAAAAGGAAGAGGCATAGATGTGTGAACTGTCTGTAGCCATGATGGTCAATGAGATGATTGAGACAATGTAAAGTACGAAAAGAGCTGAAATTGGGCCTCCTCGGTGGCGCAGTGGTTGAGCGCTGGGTTGCGAAGCTGCCCGCAGCCTCTGCAGCACTGGTTCGATCCCCGGTCACTGGGCAAGGGTCCCACATGGTGAGCTGACCTCTCCTGCTGCCCGCTGCTCCCCTCAGCAGTGTACTTTGTCAGTCTGCCTGTTCTGTTCCCCGCTCTGGCTTTGGTGAATTCTCTCACCCTCCCGCGCTTCTGACTGTACCCAATGCTTGTATAAATAAATAAATCTTTTTTTTTTTTTTAAAGATAACATTGCATGCATTCTTCTGCAACTTTTTTTTTTTTTTAAATAGAGGCATGTTTATTTATTTATTTATTTGTTTGTTTGTTTGTTTTATTTATACATGCACTGGGTACAGTCCGAAGCGCGGGAGGGTGAGAGAATTCACCAGAGCCAGAGCAGGGAGCAGAACAGGCAGAAGGACCGAAGTACACTGCTGAGGGGAGCAGCGGGCGGCAGGAGAGGTCTGCGCGCCATGTGGGACCCTCCTCCGGTGGCCGGGGAGCAGCCAGGGATCGAACCAGCGGCGCGGAGGCCGCGGGCAGCTTCGCAACCCAGCGCTCAACCACTGCGCCACCGGGGAGGCCCTAAATAAATCTTTTTAAGAAAGAAAAGAGCTGAAATCAAAAACAGAAGTTCAGGGACTACACACATTCACAAAGTGACAGGAGGAAGAGGAATTATGATGACTGAACGAGCAGTCAAAGTGGTAGAAGAACCACAAAGACATGAAAACTGAGTGAAGAAACAATTAAGAAGGTTGATCAACAGTGCCAGTGCAATGAGATTATGTATCCCTGAAACCCACAGTGTTATTGTTACCTCAATTTTTTAAAAGCATATTTAATTTCTCATAAGTTTAGACATCATTTTTAAAACGGTGCTAAATGCCACAGAGAGATTAAGGAGAAGAAATTTAAGAAAAGACCACTAGTTCTGCAGTTCAGTGGTCACTAGTAACCTTGAAGAGAGCCAAATAGGGCCTCCTGGGTGGTGCAGCGGTTGAGCGCTGGGCTGTGAAGCTGCCCGTGGCCTCTGCAGCGCCAGTTCAATCCCTGGCCACCAGCAAGGGTCCCACATGGCGAGAAGACCTCTCCTGCTGCACCCGCTGCTCC